AAAATTGATGACATTGAACAAAAATCTAGAACATCAAAGCTTTGGCTTCTTTACCGATATTACATAAATTTAATAAAACTCTAAATATTTTAATTGTTAATTTAACTTTTAATTTTTAATTGTTGCACTTTTTTAAATTTATCAAAATTTAAAATCAAAAAATTTTATAATTATTTTGATCTTAGTATAAACCTTTTTTCTGACGTTAAAACATGACAAGTGAATTTCAGCATTATGGAAAAATGTCAATACTCATTTTCCCCAAGAGCCATCAACCGGGTTTTTTTTTTATAAGTAATAATAAAAATAAAAGGTAATAGGGTTATTTTTGCTAAAATGACTGGACTAATTAAGGACATTCGTATATTTAAATAAAAAATTTGAATGCGTTAAACGATTTTTAAAATATATTAAACGCATAGGGTGTTTCTTACGACTGTAAAGAAGTTGCAATTTACTTTTGCTTATGCTTCCCCAAGCAATTGCATTAAAGTCTTTTAAATAATCTAAAAAATATCTGATTTAAAATAGGATGCCAATACTTTTAGCAACTTTATTGTTAATATAGTCAATATGAATTTTTCATGTAACATTTTCATCAAGAATTATTCCTAAAAACTTTGTGGTGGTTTCTATTTTTATTTCAATTTTATCAATAAATAGTTTTAGGATAAGGTTTGGCAAAAATCGAAACACCGCAAGTTATTTGAGTCATTTTGTTTTAGCCGAAGACAAATTGTTTTTTATTTGTTAAATAACTTTTATACCAATTTAAAAGATTGTTATTTATTCCATAATATTTGAGCTTTTGCAGTACAATTTCATGATTGACGGTATCAAATGCTTTTGATATATCAATAAATACATCTAATATGTACCGCTTTCCCTTAATTGTTCACTATGTGAAGACATTGAGTAAAAAAATATTCCTTTGGCAAAAAACATAATTTTATATCATTAATTGCAAATCAAAAATTTTTTTTTTGCTACCATCAGCAGTTTTAAAATGGCAAATGACCGCCATTTGGCGGTTATGAACCGTTTAGGAAAAAAAACACACAAATTATGTTTGAATAAACAAACCTTAAACTAATCAATATAATTACTTTACATGAAAAGAATAAAAACAATTCTTTTTTTTTGTTTAGACATAAACAAATTTGCTTGGTTTTAATATTAGTGCGATAAAGTGAAATTAACATGTCACATAAATCTACACCCCCCATGCATTGGTTATAATTTTTTTACTACTGATGGACAATTTATGTTGATAAACTTTTTTTCAGAGCGATTCCATCTTTCAACATCTGATACTGAATTTGGATCACAATATGTTGAGCACAAGTTGACACATTTATTATCATACCATCTGGTGATTATTATTCCTAAATTAATACCACATTTATATGCATGGCTTCCTCTTCTTTTTTTTCTCATTTAACTTTGAGTTGCAAAACAACACCCTTGCATTTTATCATTTCTAATTGTTGCTGTTGTAAGAATGCCTAATTTATTCAAATGGAAACATAAATCAAGATTGCAAAACCAATTATCAAAGCAGAGCTTAAAGTTTTGATTTTTTGGTAAGGATTCTATTAATCAGTTCATAACATATGAGCCGTTACATTTTCCAGAGCTAATTGCTGCAGCACCAGTATATAAGAAAAAGTCATATATAATTCCTGAAACTCCACTACGAACAAAGTTCTTAAACCCCCACTTCACTGGCTTTTTAGGGTTGTATTGCCTTATTCCACTATAACGAGTTTTGGCTGGAATTATTTGCCCGTCAATAGAGTGCCCAGTTTCTGGTTCTATAGCAAGACAATTTTGACGAACATAATCTAGTACAGGAGCAATTTTATAAATTAATATTATGTTTGTTAACTGGATCATTAAGTTTTGAGTTATAAGCAGCATGTAAAAACTCTCTTAATTTTTTATATCTAGACAAAGACATGAGATCAGCTATTTTAGAATATCGCGTATCTGTTGACCAATACATATAATAGGCTGGCAATTTAAAAATCGACATGTACATTTATATTGCAATAAACTGCTTCAATTCAGTTTCTGTTACATTAATAGATTTAGAAGATTTTTGTACACTATAAAAGTTTGTTTGTTTAGCAAGTAAGGTAAACAAAGTATCTTTTCAAAACATTTTGAAATATATCAATGGGGTAAAAGTATCAACATTGTTAGGTGGAAGACTAAATTCACAACCAGTAAAAGTAGTGTCTCTTATACGTGATCTTTTATTACACCATTTATAATTATGAGTCATTGCGTTAGGTGATGTAGATGAAGAAGTTTGCTGGCTTGTAATTGGCTTATCTGGAGTTGTAAATTCAATAATAATTTCATCTTCCAAAATAATATCTGCAGTCATGCATTGCTCTTCTTCATATATATTTATCTCATCATTTATACGGGTAACCACAAATAGATTATAATCGTCTTCTTCATCACTACTAAGTTCCAAATCTGAAAGCTCAGACTCTGAACCTGGCTCTAAAATATATTGCATAGCTTTATTTAAGTCATAGCGTGTTTTACTTTGCTTATTCATTTTATTATCTAAATAAAACTGTGATTTATAGATAAGAAAACAACATATATATGTATATATATATATATATATATATATATATATATATATATATATATATATATATATATATATATATATATATATATATATATATATATATATAATTATTTATATAGCTTGTTTACTCTATATAAAGTTATTATTTCTTTACTAAGTTTATTGTATATTAAAATAGTGTTTTTTAAATGATAAAGAAGTTGTTCCAAAATATATAAATAACATCATGTTAAACATGAAAGAGAAATTTTATCTAACTTTAAAATCGTTTGTTAATAATACATTTGGTAAGAACTATTTTATTATTATTTTTTGTTGTAATTGTGACAATTACAACAAAAAATAATAATAAAATAGTTGTATTTTTCACAATTATTGTGCTTTAAGATATGTTTTAACATAATAAACACAAACTAATAAAGAATTAAGTTGGATATCAAAAGTAATATCAATTAGGTGTTTCTGATATAAAAGTAATGTGTTTCTAATGTATGTAAGAGTTAAACCAAAACAGTTTTATATTTTGAAACAAATACGAATCATAACAGTCAATTTGGCGTTCATAACAGTCAATTTGGCGGAATCAAAATAACTGATTAGATATTGATCACATAAACAAACATTACAAACTTGGTTGCATGCAAATAATAAAATTCTAGGCTACAACTAATAAATAAACTAAAAAAATTTATATTAAAACCAGTACAACCAAGTATACAGGTCATTCAAAAACATGTGACTTTTTAATGTAAAAACCTCATAACTTTATCGACCTATCTCATAGCATCCCATAATCCAGTTTCGCATAATTTTATTGCAAAAAGATCGTAGTAGGCTAGGATTTAATGAAGATATTTTCCAAACCTATCAAAATTCAAAGTCTGATTTGGATTTAAAAAAGAATACCGCCATTTGGCGGTCCTATCCAATAAAGGTTTAAAGGCGAGTTTCCACTCATCCGTTTTTTCAAGGGAACGGGAAAGGGACGGGAAAAATAATCACGTGGGCATGCGTAGTATAAGTTTTAATATGTCTGAAGTAAAACTACGCATGCTCACGTGATTATTTTTCCTGTTCCTATCCCGTTCCCGTGAAAAAACGGATGAGTGGAAACTCACCTTAAAAGACTCAGAGATTTGCCGGACAAATTGAATAATTGCGTGTTCCGTTGAATTGTATTTTTTAAAACCAAATTGATTATTATTTTACAGTTTATTATCATTAGGATATTTATATGTTCTATTATAAATTATTTTTTCTAATATTTTTGAAAAAGCTGGGAGAATAGAAATGGTGCGGTAGTTGCACACAGTTTTAGGGAAGGCACTTTTACTTACACGGGTAAGTAAATTTTTTTGAAAAAGTTTATTACGTAAGTAATTGTCACCGTTCAAATTGAATTTACATTTACAAAAAAGTAATTAATTTTTATAAAGCGACTTTTACTTTATAAAGCAAGTTTTTTTACTTTCAAAAGTAACATGTAAAAACAGATTACATCAAAAAGTAATTTACTTTTACAAGTAAAAAGTGAGTTCATAAAAAAGCAATTTACTTTTACATATAAATATTAATTACTTTTTTAAATACGTTATAAATTTAATAGTTCCTCAAAATGTAATTTACATTAACATATAAAAATATTTTCTAAAAAAAAAAAAATTATATTGCCGTAAATGTAAAAAAAAACTTTTATATGAAAAAAAAAAAACATAAAAGTAATAGGCGACCAAATATAAATAAAATCTACTTATAAAATAATATTATATAAGTTGTCATTTTTCATTATATAAGTAAAAAAAATTGTTGTAAAAAATAAATTATATAAAGAAAAAATTTTATTACATAAGCTTATATTTTATTTAATTTTTCAAGTAAACTAAAAACAATTTATATTTTATAAGTAAGTAAATTTACTTATATTCTAAAACAGTGCTTCCCAACCGGTGGTCCATGGACCCCTGGGGGTCCATAAGAACTTTTTAAGCGGACCACAAGATAAACGTAAATTCTAAATATTTTTTGGTAGTGAAACTTAGTTTTGATTATTTTTTTCTGTTGAAAGAAACAAATTAAATTTTAAATTAAAAATGTAATTTATGCGAGAAAGCTGTTACACAAAATTTGCGTTAACTAATTCGACGAGGACTTGCGGACCTCTACGAAGTAATAAATGCTTTATAATATCATTTTTTATCCGTAAATTTAAAATGTTAAAATCTTATCTCATGGTAAAGATAACCTTACTGATTTGTTTGAAAGAACGTAATTTGTGTTATTTTCTATAAAAATTCGATACTATACTACTCTTATCTATAGATGCTTTTTATATTATTTTTTAAATACTTTAGATGTCTAAAAGTAAAAAAAGGTCATCTTAGATGAATACATGAGATATGGATTTACCTACATGCTTAAAGAAACCATTAGCTACCCACAGTGTGTTATTTGTTATAAAGTACTAGGAAATGACTCTATGAAACCTTCAAAGCTTGCTATTCACTTGAATAAGTGCCATCCTGATCTCCAAACAAAAGATACTGATTTTTTCAAAAGAAAATTTGAATCACTGAAGAGATGCAAATTGGATAAAACTGGGATTATTTACCAAACTCAACAGAATATAGTAGAAGCATCCTATAAGGTTTCATATATAATAGCACAGAACAAAAAAGCTCACACATTGGCTGAAGAAGTTATACTTCCATGTACAAAAGAAATCGTTAGATTATTATTTGGAGAAGAAGCTGCAAAGAAGGTAGATAATATATCTTTATCAAATACTACAGTCAAACGAAGGCTAACGGATATTTCATCAAACATTAAAGAAAATGTTATTAATGAAATTAAAGAATCCTCATATTTTTCTATTCAGTTGGATGAGTCCACAGATGTAAGTTCAATGGCATAACTAATTGTATATTGTAGGTATATTCACAATAACAAATTTAAAGAAGAATTTTTGTTTTCTTCTTGCCTTGAAACAACAACAAAAGCAGCTAATATTATGGAAATTTTAAAACAGTTTTTCAATGACAATCAATTACAATGGAAATATTTGTTTGGAATTACTACTGATGGAGCTCCTGCCATGATGGGTTGTAAGTCTGGATTACAGACTAGGGTGAAAGAGATTGCTCCAAATGTAATTGATGTACACTGTTTTATTCATAGACAGGCTTTGGCAACCAAAACTTTACCAGGTAGTTTGAAAACTGTATTTAATCAATTAGTCAAGTTGGTCAATTATATAAAATCTTCTGCTCTTAACACTCGCCTTTTTACAAAATTTTGCTCTGACCTAAATGCTGAACACAATAAGTTATTGTTTTATACTTCTGTGCGATGGCTATCTGCTGGAAATTTTTTGGAAAGATTTTTCATGCTTAGAAATGAAGTGAAATAATTTTTATGTCAAATGAAAAGTGGACTGGTAGAATATTTTGAATTTGATAATTTTGAAATAACAACTGCTTATCTTGTGGACATCGTAGGTCATTTTAACAAGTTAAATTTGCAACTTCAAGGCAAAAATGCTAATGTTATTACACATTCAGATAAACTGAAGGCATTTATTGAAAAGCTCAAACTGTACAAGACTAAAATTAATAATGGAAACTTGATCATGTTTCAAAATTTAAATAACATAATTGGAGTTAACATGCTTCCTGAAGTTATAAAGACAGAAATAGTTTGTCACCTAGATAATTTGATTACTGAATTTGGTAACTATTTTCCAGATATGAATCTTTTGAGCAGTGAAGTTATTATATCACCATTTTCTTGTGATGTGAAAAATGTGAAAGAGGAAGCACAAGAAGAGTTTATAGAGTTAAAGAATGATACCACGGCTAAGGATCACTTCAAAGTAGCACCATTAAATAACTTCTGGCTGAAAATGAGGAATTCATATCCATTGTGTTCATCAATTGCACTTAAAGCCCTTATTCCTTTTTCAACATCATATTTGTGTGAAGCCGGGTTTTCAGCAATGCTATCTCTTAAAACAAAAAAAAGAAATAGACTTGATATTGATGCAGATATTAGATGTGCTCTATCAAAAACTAAACCAAATTTTCAGATATTAATTGCTAGTAAGCAGTGTCAGAATTCACACTGACCTGTTCTTGTATCATACATAAACTAAGATAAAAAATTTTTGTGTCATTGATAAATATTGATTTTGTGTCTAGTCTATTCAAAAATACCTTAAATAAAATATTATCCTTATGAATTAAAGTTACATTATTAAAATGTTCACCTTGTAATAATTTTTAAAATCAAAGGGGTCCATGAAGATTTTAGGATATTTAATTTGGGGAACGGGTTAGAAAAGGTTGGGAACCACTGTTCTAAAATAAATTAGAGAGGATATTGTGCAACCGAGTAAAATGCAAAAAGTACAACTTACATCAAAGTAACTAACATTTAGTTTTTGGCGACATTTTTTGTGAGCGGTTTAGGCTTTTTTTCCTTTGTAAGTTTTGATGTATCAGTATTTGGTTTATAGGCATCAAAATGCTGCCGATAAAAACCATTCTTACTCCTGGTCAATGACTATATTGGGCAGTACTAGAGTATGTGGTGGTAGGTAGGTTTAGGCGGCGGTTAAAATATTCGAAAGGACCGTTTTTTTAATTCTTAAATCACTTTAGATGTTGTAGCACTCAAAAAAAGAGTGCTACAACATCTAAAGCTTACTTTAAAAATAACCCCGGGCAACAAATAATCTTAATCCAGTTATGGTTTTAGCTATTAAAACTATTCTTTGAACTAAGCCGTATAACAAACTTGCTGGAGTGAAGGTGATGTTGATAGAGAACATTGTTTTGGAGATATAGGTGAGGCTTACGATTTTGGTTTCCGTCAAAATTTGGCAGCGGCAATACAGTGCATATACCCTTGTAGATGCAGAAAGGGTGGAAAGATATAACGAAGAGAGAATAGGAGTCGCTATATAATAGAAAGCGTCAATAGGACCACGGAGTCTTTAATAATATTGCTGGATTAAAGTGTGGCTAGAGTGGTTATAGTCCTGGGTGCTGCACTTTTAGGAGACCCGAAAATTTCAAGAGGAAAGCCAATAGGTTGAGGGCCAACGAGCTTATTATACGCTTGCAAAAACTGCTGAATAATTGCCACTTATGAATTTTTTTACGGCTAAACAAATGCGTTGTGACGACACTAAACCTGAGGTATGGCGCAGTTGGTTCTAGGTAAAAATCTCCCTGGAAAAGATCCCCCCGAAGTAATCTCCCGAGAAAAAATCCCCCCGGAGAAAAAAATTCCCTTGATAAAACCCCCCGAGAAAAAATCCACCGGAAAATATTCCTCCTCCCCCCCCCCCCCTCCCTCCAAAAGAAAAAAAAAAAATTTTTTTACCTAATAATTATCAATATGTAGTTATGTTTATTTATTTTAAATATTTATATAAAATACTTTACTTTTCATCAAAATATCAAGTTATGCACTATTCCTCAAAGGTAGCGAATGTGAAACCCTAACCCTAACCCTGACGAACTGCGAACTGGTAAAATGTGAACTTTTTTGCAAACCATCGTAGTTAATTTAGCGGTATATTTTAAGGACTTTCAAGCGAAAACATTACATTCAAGCGATAGCATTACAAAAAAATAAATATTTAATAACTTATTATATTATATATATTATATAATAATTATATAATAACTTATTATATAATAATTTATTATATAATTAAATAATAATAAAAAATAAATATATAAATAAACATTTCAAGCGAAAACATTACATTACAAGCGAAAGCATTACAAAAAAATAAATAAAAGGAAACTAAGTGAAACTAGACGAATGCAATCTGAAAATATATAAATATATTTTAAAATTATTTGATAGACTGCCTGCCCGAACCAAACCCTCAGTCAATGGAGTAGCACTCCATTGCGAGTCCGACTATAACATAGTCGATGTAGCAACACTCTGCGTATGTTTTACATTTAAAAAATAAAAATTTTATTTTAAATAAAGCTTTAAAATAGATAACTAAGAATTGGAGAGTTTTTTTAATTATTATTTTCATCATAAAAATAATGGTCTTTAAAATATAATGTTTTGTTTCGCAAATAAGTTCGCATTTTACAGGTTCGCAGTACGCAGTTCGCATTTTACCGATAAATAAATAAATATAACTATTTTATTGATAACTTTAATAACAAAAAATCTTTTTGGGAGGATATTTTCCAGTGGAATTTTTTTTCGAGGGGATTATTTCAAGGGGATTTTTTCCTGCTACCAACGCAGTTGTGGGTTTTAAGTAAATTAGAAAATCAAAAATATACTAAAATATCAGCCGCCTGTTCCTTTAATGTGAGGGCAACAAAATCAATTTATTTTTTCATACTCGTGAAAGTTTTGCGACAGGTTTTATAACGCTTATCATTTAGAGTTCAACATTTATGATTAAGTTTAAAAGTATGAATAAAGTTTACATCCTTTCCAAAATGAAGAAGTTGTTTAAATTTTTTTAAAAGAAGCATGAACACACTTTCGCACTTACTTTCGGTATCGCACTTTATTCTTTACTTTCGGTATCGCACTGTTATTCTGACTGTGCGATACTTTCGGTATCGCGCAGTCAGAATAACAATTTAGATTATACTGGTGTCTTGTTTGATAAATGATATATATAAGATATATATAATATATATACAAGATATATATAAGATTAATTCGTTAATTAGATTATTATTAAATTTGCTTCACGAGAGACGCATCAATTTTCAGTGGGATCGAATGTTTGAAGGCTCTGAAAAATAATATGACTAGTAATTAAAAAAATACTTATAAAAAGAAACGTTGCATTACATATACATCAAAAGCATTAAAATAAACCTAGTGATTCTAAAGTTGTTATAAAAATACAACGGAAACACAAAAAGACATTATTAAAAAAGTATTCAAAAAGAAACGGTAAAATAAACTATAGTTTAGTTCATTTAGTAGCTTATAAGCAGCTGTTGCGGTTTTCAAAAGGTCTAATTTTTTTTTGAGGTTTAAATTAGTTTCAAAAGGGTGAAAACCTAATTTTTCATATGTTTTAAAAGACTATTTTAAATTGTCTTATCGTCATCGTCCTTCTTTAAGTCAGCGTGGTAATTATTAGCAACAACACTTACCCAAATGAAAACTAAATTTTTTTTTAAAGAACTATTCATAAAATTTTAGTCGTGAATAGATTAACAGAAATATCATTGAAGCAACATAAACTACTGAAAAGACACCATTCCCAGTGGGCACTGACGTAAAAAAGACGTCTTTTAAACGTCTGATAGCGGACAGTCTACTGCCCATCTTCACGTTAAATTTTAAAGGAAATTGCTGCTCTTCCAAGTCTATTACTAGAACAAAATTGGTCTTTTGAGTTAAAGATTGTCCACCACACGTTGAAAAGATGCAAGAAACTTGAGCATCTTATAAGAATTTATAGCAGCTATAGTAGTTTCATGAAAAATGTCAAGTGCTACCTTAACATTATGTTTAAATTTGCCTGGGTGTAAAACTTTATTGCAAATCTAGGAGCTTTTCTTAAATTTGCATCCAAGTTTTCATCCTTTTCATAAACATCGTGCAACAGTTTCCTGGAAATTTCACCAGACTTGAAAGTAATATCATCAAAAAAATAACAAAAATTGAGTTCAGGAAAAATAAATATTTTTCTATATTACAAATTATTTCAACCATTTTTTATCAGGTGTACGACATCAAAAAATAAATAAACTTTTTGCGATTGAAAATTTATAAACAAACTTTGAGCATCTTATCATGTAATTTCAATACTCTGAGTAGGTCGAAACATTAGTGGCATGGTTGTCACATACAAAACCTCTGACTCTAAAACCACTCTTGGTTAAAATATCCAACTAGCTTAAAATTTCAACTTTTAACTAATCACTGTCGATTTTGGCTAGCGAAGCTTTAATAATGCAGGGTATATTTTATTTTAACCCAATTATCATAAAACATACAATACTTCTATAAAGTTCATTATTATCATTGATACCAATTAATTTTCCTTCCACAATACTCTGCACAATTTTGCAAATACATTTTATCAAATAGAACAATAATATCCTTTGATAAAAAATTATTTTCAATCAATAATTTTGCAACTTTCAATGAATCAATTTTACCTTCTGTTATCTTGTTTAAAAGGGAAAGTGAAGGTAAGGTAAATTGTTCAAGAAGAAGGTTATACAATTGAAGTGAAGTATAACGTAGGAGTAAAGCATATTGGATAATATCAGTTGAATAGACTTGACTTTTTTAAATTGATGTTTTTTAAGTTCATCTAAAAAACAAATATTTTCTGCTTGTCCTTTAAAATACCAAGGAAAGTTTTCAAGCATGCTTTTCTTACTAAGTTTACAATTGCTCCCATGCCTGAACCAATGTGGCAAAGATACAGGAAAACCTTGAAGAAACAATTTCACGTGCAAGTCTTTATCAATTTTGATACATTCCATAACTTCTGGCACACACTCATCGTTCAATTCAAGTTTATAAAAAACAACATAATCTAAATATTTTGAAAAGGTATATCCTGGTGGGCTGTCTGCTTCATTGATCGATTCTAAATCAAGAATAGAATTATTTGTTAAAAATAATTTATACTCATCTTCTTGAAAAACCCTTTTATTTAGAAGATCTTCTCGGTAGTAAAACTGTAGTTAATAAAGATGGTGTTTCTTTACAATCTGGATAAATAGTAACGACTGGTTTTAAGGTTTTAATTAAACGGAATCTTTAATTTTGTTTGCCCTTCTTTATAAGTTTATTGTCAAAATGTTTAACACAGACTACTGATGAGAAAGTTGGTTGCCAGTTTTTTCTGTTCACAAATCGAATCCATCTGTCTTTTATATCTTCGTTTCATGGAAAAAAAAATACAGGAATCGATTGATTTCCTGAATTATTAGATCGACATCCAACAACACAACATTTGTTAACCATATTTTACATGCAACTGTTTAAGTAAATGGCCTTCTATTTTTTCGGCGAAAATGCAGGATGTAAGGCCGTATATTTTAAGCAGGCCATGGTTCAAGCGATTTAAAGAATTTGGATTGACGTCATTAGAAAAACGAAGAGAACGGAGCAATATAATAGAATATAATAAAATTAAAAATGATATTATATTCTCCAATAAACTCCAATAAACAACTTAATTCCAAAATTAAGAGGTCATAATCAACGGTTGCACAAACAAAACGTTAGTATTTCGGAAGCATGAACGCATCGCTATACTAATAGGATTGTTAATAAATGGAACAGTCTGACCTATGACGTTGTTTACTCTGTTTATTAAAATACTTTTAAAAATAAACTTTAGGAACATGAGAAGGGCAATTCTAAATAAAAATTTGATTTTTATTATTTTGTTATATCACGAATTTCATTAGTACTTTTCATTTTACTGTTAAAGTCACAATACAGTTATGTGACTACCTCAACTACAGTTAAGTGACTCACATATTTTCATATCTACAGTTAACATTATCATTGTTATTATTGCTCTTATTATTATTATTATTATTATTATTATTATTATTATTATTATTATTATTATTATTATTATTATTATTAAAATGTTTTATAAATTTTAAAATATTTTTAATATATATCCACAATAATTAATGGTTTCTAGTTTTTTTAGGTAATATTAGGCATATACCATATTTTCCCTATTAATAGGCTTCACTTATTAATTTAAATCATGTTCTATTACGTCATTGCTAGAATCTTTTTATAAAGACTAAACGAGAATCTGTAGCAAGTGTAAAAAAAACAGAATATCTGTTTTGTTGAATATCCATTCTTGATTTGTAAATCTTTTTTTAATGAAAGTTATTAACTATATTAATTGTTAGAGAGTAACATCTTTTAATTGAAAAGATTTAATTGTCGAAGAAAACGGTGTCAGTGAGAAAAATTCTGATGGAATATATATGTTATAAAAACTTTTTGGTAGAGCCAATGATTGTAAGGAACCAATAATGGAAGTTGTCATTAAGACAATAAATTTAGGGTTTAGTTTTTTATATTCAACAATATAATACAAAATTACATATATGAGCACATTCTAAATTTATAAAGAAGTAATTCAATAAAAAAATTCAATAATTTTAAGCTCCTTATCAAAGATTAGTGATGTTAGGAGGTGGGTTTAAGTTCATTATTAAAGATTAGTGATGTTAGGTGAGTTTAAATTCTTTATCAAAGTTTACTGATGATATTAAAGGTTAGCGATGTTATGTGGATTTAAGTTCTTTTTTAAAGGTTAGTGATGTTAGGAGGGTTTAAATTCGCCAAGTATATAAGGTAAATTTTTTTATTTCAATAAAAAATTTACCTTATATACCTACAAAATATACCTTATAAAACCAATATTATTTATTAAACCAATAATATTTACATTAATTATTGCTTATCTTTAAATACTTGAAATCAAATAAACAATGCATTAAATATAACATCAAATGAACAAACAGCATTGTTCCATAATTATGAACAAACAGAAATGTTCCATAACTATGAACAAACAAAATTATTTCACAATTACAGTATATACAGAATTTAAACGTATAAAGTAATTTTTCAATAAAATTAATACCTTTGAATAAAGTATTGTATCATGCATTAATTATAAAGAACTTTTTTTTCAAATTTTTTATTTGTTGAAAACCATCAAAAAAAAAAGTAAAATTTTTCTGTACGCTTTTGAATTTTCTGACTAGGAATCTTAAACTAAAAAAGGGGATAAAAACACTTGCACATAAAGCAATTGTACAAAAGAAGCGTTACTGGTTAAAGCTAAGAATAAATACAAGTTTATTAAAATAAATGGAAAACAATTTCATGTTTTATGTTTTATTAATATACTTTAATATTTAGTTGGTCCTCCTTTTGCTTTAATTGCCTTTAACAATTGTTTTGGCATTGATTCAATTAGACATTTGATTTGATTATTGTCGATGTTAGGCCAACATTTAATTACCTCTTTCTTCATATTTTAAGTAAAGAATCTATTAAGATTATTTTAATTTAATAAAGTCCAAAAATGTTCTATTGGATTCAAATCAGAGATCTGTGAAGGCCATTCTAAAACGTTTATGCAGCTTTCATAAAAAAAGGTTTTAGCTATTGTTGCAAAGTGTTTTGGATCATTGCCTTGATGAAACAAAACACTGTTTCACAATCTAAGTTTTTAGCAGAAGATTTTAAATTTCTTTTCAATATATTTTTATACAATTCAGTATGCATAGTTTTGTCAATAAGTTCTAGTTTACCTGCACCATTTCACGCCACACACTTTACACTTCCACTGCCATGTTTAACTGTTTCTCTCGTTCAACTTAAATGAAAAGCTTCACCAATCTTTCGCTAAACTCTTTGTGTACCATCAAATTGTTTTAAGTTTAACTTTAATTGATCAGACCATAGAACTTTTTAAGAAATACTTTTTTGCAAAATTCATTGTTCTCTTGATATGATTTTTCGTTAAGAATGGTTTTTTACAAGCCATACATATACTGAACCCTGCTTTATGAATTCGATGTTTAATTTGTGTTTCAAATGTTTCATATTGTTGGTTCATACTAATTAATAATGTTATGGCTCCTGCTGTTGCAAATAGAATGTTTGAAAGTTCTTCAACTTTTTTATAAGTATTATCTTGCTTAACCAAGACAAGCAAATACTGGGACGTACAAAAAACGTAAATTGAACGTTCAGGCGGAACGTCTCGGACGCGTTCTAAACTGATTCTAGATTAGACGCTCAAAGACGTCTTTTCAGAACGTTCTATAAACGTCGTAAAAAGACGTAAATATGACTTTCCGTTTAAGTGCAGTTATACAAAATTGGTCTAAAAAAGAGGACATTTAGTTATGCAATAAGCGTATTTTACCAATAACAAAATTTTTAAGATTTTGGCGACAAAATTTAAACATTTAGAAATTGTAACAGAAATTTTTATTTATTATTAATTAAAACAAATAAAATACAAAATTATAAGTATACAAAAGATTAAAATATATTTCAAACTACAGATCAAAAAAATATTATAAAAACTTTTGTCGTGGTTTAGTTTTTCACGGTCACTGATGCCTTTTCTATCGGCGCTCTTTTCAGGATCTCCATCGCAATTTTCAAAGAAAATATATATAAATAAGATTATAGAATATAAGATAAAGAATATAATAAATATTCAATCAAGTTAGCTTATAGCTTATTAGTTTTTCCTACATCCTATATACTAATATCTATTATAAATTTATTCTAATAAATCAATAAATCAACAAATCAAAATTTCTAAAGTTTAGAACGGAAGCCTTTAACGAAAAAAAAATTAAATGTTAATTACCCGTTCAAGTTTTACATCCTTTGTGGTTTGTATTTTAAATTAAAAAAATATATAGTACATTTGGTAAAAATTTCAGCTTCTTTATGATTTCTAAAAAGTTATGCAGTAAAAACTGAAAAAAAGTTGGTGTTTCTAAACTTTTGCACGCTACTGTGTGTATATATATATATATATATATATATATATATATATATATATATATATATATATATATATATATATATATATTACTTTTAAGATAAAGTTTACTTTTTCTTGTATAAAGATTTTACTTTGTTTTTTCTACTTTGACTGAGATTTTTTTTTTCATTTCCTGAAGTTTATTTTTATTAGCAATTTCTTTTATCATCAAATACTTTAACTCTTTTTTGAAAAGTTGTAAGACCTGTCTCATCAACATTATAAATGCTTTATGGTGGAAACTGGTGTCGCAGATGTAAATATTTTAGATCGGAGAAATATTCTCCGACTGTTTAACAATTAAATGCAGTTGCTCATGCCATACTAGTAGCGTCTGGATTTCGCATAGATAAATCATTCCTACATAACATAAAACAACAAAGCCACTGTTTCCCAGGGATTTGTAAACTTTTCCACAATTAGGAATGCGCTTAAAAAGAGTAATAGCAAATTTTTATCCAAGTTTGCGTGTTGTTTTGGTTGACAATCCTTAATGAAGTTTTGAACCCTTTAAAAGATAGTCTGATGAAAATCGTCGGCAAAAATTTGCATGGTTATGAAATTAGGTTTGCAGACTGTATTTGGATTTAATTGACATTTCCTTACATCATAGATCATCCTAGTCATATTTAAAAAATCCGGAAAATTGTTTGAATAAAATATTTGGAAAAAATCCGGAATTTGTTTTCCCTTATTTTCTTTTTAATTTCGCTTTTAGCTAAATTGGTTTAGTTTTTTTTGACACACTTTCATAATTTTTCTAATTAATGAGTGAAAAAGCTTAAAAAATAAATATATTACAAAAATATATACCTCGACTCGCATGTATTAAAAATGTTTTGAATATTCGGAAAAACTAATAGTTAAAAAAAATAGAGAGAAATCCTAGATTAAAAAATACTTTTTTATTTAGCGGTTTAGATTAAAGAGTACGATGAAAATAAAAACTATATTGTTCCAGTTAATTGGCGTAAACATTCTTTTTTTCTTTTATCATAGTAAAATAAATATAAATTGAAAATAAAAAAATGTGATGTTCAACATTTTAACTTATTTCAGCGTTATTTAAAGTCGCTGTTACAACACCTCGTTCGGTTTGCATTACACAACCATCGTATTCAGCAACGAACTCATCGGAAACTTGTAATTTAGTCTAAAAACGAACTTAAATTTAAATTAAGAAAAAATAATAATTAATATAATTAAATAAATTGATTTCAATTTATCTAATTGTAAAACTAAAGATAATATTAGAAATTCACCTTTATTGTTTCAAATATTTTTTTTTTGGGATTGAGTTGGTCATCAGGCTCTAAAAATATAAAGTAAATAGCAAAACTTTAAAAAGGCCAGAGCAATTGAAAGATTTGAAAATTTTATTTTATGTTTTTGTACTTTAATTCGTTTTACTTACATATTTTTTTTTCTTTTTAATGTAAAAATTTTCGTTTTAATAAATAAAAAAATCAATACAACTGGACTAAGGATTAGATAAACTGAGAATTAGATAAAACTACCAGTAACAGCAAATATTTTTTTTAACTTGACTTAATTAAAGTGTTTCGACATATCCATGCTGTGAAATCTTTAGGAACAATTCTCAAGCAAAATAAAGCATTATATAGAAAAGAAATAGTGAACATAACAGAAAAACATGACATTACCCAGCAAAAACTTACTCCAACTCTAAAAATATATTTTTTAAAAGGTCACCGCTTTTGAAGTGAACAAAGCATCAGAATCAGTTTATGAAAATATCATCAGATTATAAAAATGCAAACAACATTTTGGTCATCCAGAGTAATGCAAAAAACGAAAGATAGTACAATGGCATAATGCTACAAAGATCAACCTGGGTCTCTAAGAAGCGTATTTTCGTAGATATTTTAGAAAACATAAATATTTTTATTTTACTAATTTATTGACAAAAAAAATATTTTAAAAAAATGCTGAAGACTCATAAAACAATTTTACCAAAATGTTTCTCAGCAATAATATATATATATATATATATATATATATATATATATATATATATATATATATATATATATATATATATATATATATATATATATATATACAAGTATAATATAAATAAATATATATAAAAGTATAAAATATATAAATATATATAAAAGTATTTTTAATAACATACTTAGGTCGTTAGAGAAGTTTGTAGAACTTCATCTAGAAAGTTACAATAAGACAGGAAATAATTAAATATTTATATATCATCTTAAACTGTTTAATTATGAACATTATACAGCTCACGTATACAGCTGAGAATATTGAACGTGTGCGAGCCATTATTGAAAGAATCCGCATGCAACACGTTATAATTGAAGCCTCGACATCAATTAATCGTTTTACAATTAACGAAATCATTCACAACGCACTTAAAAAAAGAAAACTAACATCACATAGGATACCCCACGAGTTAACCGATGAAATTCGAAAAAATAGAGTTGAGGCATGTAAAGAAAAGTTAGCCCTTTTCAGAAACAGCCCATGGAGGCTATGCGATATTGTTACAGGGGATGAGTCATGGTTTTATTTAAGACAAGTTGGACACAAGTCAGATAACGCTAGTTGGGTCGGTGAAGTTGAAAGTCCAAGAACTATAGTAAGATGCGATAGGTTTCAGCCGATCAGCATGTTCTACATCTTCTATAGCCGATCAGCATGTTCTACATCTTCTTCAAAACAACAGGTGTTGTTCATTAGGATTATGTTGAAAAGGGAGATACCATTACTTACGAATATTTTATAAAAAATTGTTTGAAACCTCTTATATGCAAATTAAATAAGCAAAGACCTAAAACAGGCACTCACAATTTCAAATTTCTTCATGATAACGCTCGACCCCATGTAACTCAAACCGTCTAAACCAAGCTGCAATTACAATAATTCGCCACCCACCATACTCACCAGACTTAGCTCCATCCGATTATTGGCTATTCGACTTGATAAAAAAAAATCTTGATGATGATACTGACGTTGAAAGCCAGAAAACCCGCATAACGAAGCTACTTGAAAGTATACCCAAAAAAGAGTATAAAAAAACTTTTCACAAATGGCTTGAAAGGATGCAACTTTGTTTAGATAATGATGGACATTATCTAACGTTTTATTTGAACGTTTAATAAAAAAAAATTAAAAAAAACTCTTATTTTTTTTTATAGGGGAGTTCTACAAACTTTCCTAACGACCTAAGTATATATATAAATATATATATTCATCTATTAGGCTGTATATATATATATATATATATATATATATATATATATATATATATATATATATATATATATATATATATATATATATATATATATATATATATATATATATATATATATATATATATATATACAGTATATAAGTATATATATATATACAGTATATAAGTATATATAAATACAGTATATAAATAATACAGTATATATAATAATATAATACAGTATATATAATAATATAAATAATACAGTATATAAATAATACAGTATATAAATACAGTATAAATACAGTATATAAGTATATATATATATATATATATATTCATCTATTAGGCCTCATCTATTAGGCTGGCGCAGATGTATTTTTAATACATTGTTTCCAGTTTAGGATGTTGAACGCTGGATCTTCTTGACTCAATGCGTGGGTATTGCTTGTGTCTCTATTTTTATGACTGGGCAACTCATTCTATTATCTCCTAATGAGGGTACAGCTCTAAAACTCAGTTTTATGGTTCTGAGGCCGGCTGGTAGTCAGGTTTCCCGAACTCTGTGGTAGCTCTCAGAGAGGCTGATTCCATCAACAGCCGAAAAATATCAGAGTACTAACAGTGCCATGTTGCGCATGGATGGTGTCCCTGTTTGTACTTTTGGTGTGCATTGCAGAGGCCACATTTGGAGCCCTTTGTTACAGCTTAGGGTTTATTAATAGTAATGAGGCTATTGCTTAGTTGTTAAATAGTGTACTGAGTACTATCTATACTTGAGTAAAGTTCTTTATAAATTTAAAATGACTAAAGTACCTAAAACTAAAAAACACAAAAAACCATCGTCATCACCAAGTTCTCTAAACCTATCATTTACTAATATTCGTGGTCTTCAAAGTAACTTTTCTTCTGTTGAGTCTTATCTCTTGCAAAGTTCACCAGACCTACTTGCTCTTTGTGAGACTAATTTGAGTTCGGCTGTCCCATCTTGTGATCTTAGTGTTGATGGTTATCTTCCTTTAATTCGTAAAGACTCCAATAATCACATGCTTGGCCTGGGTATCTACATTCGTAAGAACTCACCCATTTGTCGTGAAGCTAGGTTTGAATCTACAGACTATTCATTTATGTGCTTTCGTTTAGCACAACTTCACTCTATCGCCTTTCTCTTTGTTCTATATCGCTCTCCTTCATCCCAAGATTGCACTATTCTTGATGTTATTTCTGATCAAATTGACCAAGCCCTCTCTCTTTATCCATCGGCCAATATCGTCGTTGTTGGTGACTTTAATGCCCATCACACCGATTGGCTTGGCTCTAGTGTCAGTGACTCTGCTGGCGTTAAGGCCCTCAACTTTTGCTTTTCTCAATCAACAACTCAAATAGTCAACTTTCCAACTCGTTTTCCAGACAACCCTAATCATTTACCTTCTCTACTCGACTTATGTCTTGTTTTGGATCCTAGTCAGTGCTCAATTTCTCCACATTCACCCTTAGGTACTTCTGATCACGGTTTGATCTCTCTAAAACTATTATCAAATTCTTCTACTTCATCAGAATCCCCCTATCATCGTACCACATACAACTACCTTAAAGCTGACTGGGACTCTTTCCGTGATTTTCTTCGTGATGGCCCTTGGGTAGAAATCTTTCGTCTTCCTGCTGACAAATGTGCTTCTTACATAACTACGTGGATTCAGGCTGGCATGGAATCTTTTATTCCCTCTCGACGATTCCAGGTCAAGCCTCACTCTTCTCCTTGGTTTTCCTCACATTGCGCTGCAGCAATTTCTAATCGAAACCGTTACTTCCATATCTATCAGCAAAACAATTCTCCAGAAAACAGACATCTGTTCACTATCGCCAGAAACCATTGTAAAAAGGTTTTGTCTGACGCCAAAGCTCGCTATTCCCAGGTCATTAAATCTCGTATCTCATCACAAAAATTAGGCTCTCGAGACTTCTGGAGAATCTTTAACAGTATCAATAATAAGGGCAAATCTGTTATTCCTTCTCTCTTGTATGGTTCAGACTTTGTCACCTCACCTAAAGACAAAGCTAAATTGTTTGCTAAGAACTTTTCATCAATATCATCTCTTGATTCCACTAGTTGCGTTTTACCTGACATAGCCGTCAAACAGGTTGATCCCTTGCTCGACATTCGCATCACTTCAGCTTCTGTATATAAAGTAATTTCCTGCTTAGACTCTTCAACAGCTTGTGGTCCTGACAACATTCCTGTTGTAGTCTTGCAGAGGTGTTCTCCGGAGCATTCATCCATACTTTCTAAACTATTTAACAAGTGCTTATCAGAGTCTTGTTTTCCATCATGCTGGAAAGCAGCATCTGTTATCCCTACTTTCAAAAATTCCGGAGAGCGATCTGATTCATCTAACTACCGTCCCATTAGTCTTCTTCCTGTCATAAGCAAGGTTTTTGAATCTTTAATCAACAAACACTTAATCTCTCATCTTGAATCAAATAACTTACTTTCTGATCATCAATATGGATTTCGGTCTTCTCGTTCTACAGCTGATGTGCTAACAGTAATAACCGATAGGTTTTACCGTGCATTAGATAGAGGTGGAGAGGTTAAGGCTATCGCACTTGAAATTTCTAAAGCTTTTGATAAAGTTTGGCATGCTGGTCTTCTCCATAAGCTTTCTTCTTATGGTGTAGCTGGTAACGTCTTTAAGATTATTGAGTCCTTTCTTTCCAATCGTAGTATAAAAGTTGTCCTCGATGGACAACACTCTTCTTCACATCCTGTAACTTCAGGGGTTCCTCAAGGTTCAATCCTTGGCCCTATACTCTTTTTAATTTACATTAACGATCTTCCAGATATTCTCACATCTAAGGTGGCATTATTCGCTGACGACACTACCATTTACTCTTGTCATGATAAGAAGCCTACACTCTCTGATTGCTTGGAGGGGGTATCTGAGCTTGAAAAGGATCTCACTTCTGCTACAGCTTGGGGCTCACAGTGGCTGGTGAACTTTAATTCAGATAAAACTCAATTTTATTCGGCCAATTGTTATCGTAATAATTTAGATCTTCCTATATTTATGAATGGTAATGTACTAGATGAGTCATCTACCATTCATCTTCTAGGATTAACTCTTACTTCTGATCTTTCTTTTAAACCGTATATCAAATCCATTGCAAAATTAGCATCTGCTAAGGTTGCATCTCTTTATCGAGCTCGACACTTTCTCACTCCAGATTCTATTCTCTATCTCTATAAATCTCAAATCCGTCCCTGTATGGAATACTGTTGCCACATCTGGGGCGGATCTTCTAATGATGCTCTTTCTCTTTTAGACAAGGTGCAAAAACGAATTGTAAACATAGTTGGACCTGCTCTGGCAGCCAATCTCCAACCTTTGTCACATCGTCGTAATGTTGCTTCTCTTTCTCTTTTCTACAAATACTATAATGGGCACTGCTCTAAAGAGCTAGCGTCCCTTGTGCCATCTACTAAAATTCATTCTCGTGTTACTCGCCATTCAATTAAGTCTCATCCTTTTTCTGTGACTGTTCCTAAGTGCTTCAAAAACTCTTATTCTTCTAGTTTTTTTCCTCGAACATCAGTTCTTTGGAATTCGCTTCCTTCATCTTGCTTTCCTGATTCATATAATTTGTAATCTTTTAAGTCATCAGTCAATCGTTATCTTGCTCTACAGATTTAGTCTTTTCTCTTCCAGTAACTTCCAACTCTTATAGTGGTTGCTTGCAGCCTTGTTGGAAGTGAAGATGTTAAAAAATATATATATATATATATATATATATATATATATATATATATATATATATATATATATATATATATATATATATATATACATATATATATATATATATATATATATATATATATATATATATATATATATATATATATATATATATATATATATATATATAAATATATATATATATATATTTTTTCTATTACAAGAGAATATTATTTTTTAAATCTCTATAAAAAGACGCTTCTTTAAAACCAAGATTGACATACTTTTAAATAATTTTTTTTTTACAATATTAGCGATTATATCCCAAATGGTAAAGATTTGAACCCAAATATCTTTACAGCTTGACGTGATGGTGAAAAACGAGTTGCATTTTTGAAATCAAAATGAGAAATACAAAAAACATATTGTTTGCTCAGCACCAGAAAAAAAAAAAGTTGGCCTGTGTAGTTTTACAGATTAAAATATATTTGCGCATTAAATTTGTACAAAGATCTATTTTAATCTAAAAAATTGCAAATATAAACTAATTCAGTTTGATTTGATATATTGAAAATTTTATGTATTTTAATAAACTTTCTCAAATGTCATTGAATGTTTTAAAAATTTGTAAAAAGTCATAAAAAAACCAAAAAACCAATTCAAAGATTTTTGAAGAAACAATTTAAAAAAATTTTAATTATTTAATTTTAATTTTTAATTAAAATTTTATTATCTTAAAAAAACTTTTGTAATTCGAGTATGTTCACTTGATTCTTACATGTTATTTGATATCTTACATATTAAATAATATCATATATATAACTTGATATCTTTAAATGTCTAAATTTTAAATAATCAGCTTAAAATATCAAAGTAGAAATGATTATTGTAAAAAAATACCATAATAATATGAAAACATTTCTTTAATAAAAATAAAAATATAAAATTCTTGTTATCAATATAGCAACCCCGGCCTCCCAATGATTAAGTGAAAAACTTAATCACATAATTATTGTAAGATATAAAAAAACAGTATTACTGTTTTTTTAATATGGGTTTACTGTAAACGCATAGTGCAAAAATGTTTCATATGTGCAGATACTCTAAGATGATTAAAATGTGCCATAAGATACTATCCAATCATTATAAATAAATAAGGTGGTTTGAAAATGAAAAGGTGGGAAGGAATTTTTGTCTAGATTCAACAAATGGTTAGGTAGGAACTTTTATTTTTACAAGTAAATTTATATTTTTTAATTTTTAAGGCAGATATACTCTAAAAGTTATTTTTTAGTTTTGAGATTTATAAATGGGGAGGGTCTTAATAAGCTTGAAGTGGGTTTGAAAACTTTACAAATATTTATAAATCTTAAAATAGTGATTGTCATTGAAAAAATATACTAAAAACAACAACAACAACAACAAAAAAAACAACAACAACAACAATTCATATAGAAACAGAACCAATTAAAACTATTTGTGTTTTTAGTAGTTACTGTGTTATATGTGTGAACACATAACACAGTAACTGTAGTGGTAGGGGGTACTTGCTCCATAAACAAGAAGTTCTGAGTTCAATCCTCACTAAGTTGCTGGTAATACTGTGCAGCGGTCTTGTTTTTCCGCACAGCAGCCTTGTTTGTCAAAATATTTTGAATTTAAAGAGGGTTGCAACCACAATAAAAGAGTGTCCTCAACTGTAGTAGTCCTTTCAGCCTTGGGGAAGTAAATTCATGGAAAAGTAAATAGTAAATAAAAATTAGGAAAAATATCTTTATTTTCATCCAAGATTCAATTTTTATTATTTTTTGCAGAAAATATTTTATTTATCATAGTAATATCATAGTTCTTTTAACACCAACTCTTATAAGTAGCAGGTGTTTGAATTCCTTTAAATTTATAAGTAATAAAAAAGGTTTAAATGAAATTTAACCCCTCAAAATATGAAAAAAAGAACTAAATACTCATTGTATAACGATTCACCACACATGTTACTAAGTAAAAAAAAAAAAAAAAAAAAAAAAAAAAAATTAAAATATACACATTTTAAAGTATATCATCCATGCTTCACTTAAGTGGGTTGAATGAGATTTCGGTGATGTCTGTCTTATTTAAATAGGGAAAAAATGAAAGAATTTTATAAAGATGCCCTTCTTGGTGTAAAACTGTTTTGCAGATAAAGACAAACTTAGTCCTTATCTGCAAAACATGAAAATACTTAGTCTAAGTATTTTTATTGCAACACTAAGATGCTTACCATCCAATGAATGCTTACCATCCAACGATTACTTACAATCCAAATTTTACAAGTTCCTTCTATCTATAACTAAATTGGAGGCTTTATATCTGAGTTTTCATTTGCTAGATAAGTGGCCTTAACCTCAGCTAAAAGGTAACTAACCTGAGCTAACTAACCTGAACTAACTAACCTGCTCTACCATAAAAAATTTTGTAAATTTTTCCAATGTTTTCCAGTATTCATTTTAAAGATCTTAGTATATTAGGAAGTAATAAATATTAAAGATCTGAAAAACTTAGGAAGTAATAAATTTTAAAGATCTTAGTAATTTAGGGAGTAATAAATTAGTTAGAAAAAAAGTGGAAGCAAGACTATATTGATTTTTAGAAATTTTTATTTTTACTTCAAGTTGTTTCTAAACCACATTTTATAGTAGACATGAAATAAAAACTTTTGGAAACAAATTAAAAACAAAAGATTAAAAATCTTTTTTTTTTTTTTTTGGTGGGGGAGGGGGGGAAGCTTTTTTTTTTCTAAAACCATAAAACAATTAAAAAATGAGGGAGATTTGAAAAAATTCAAAATTTTGAAATAAAAGTAAATTCAAGCATAATAATAAAAAAGGGTGGCCAGCAAATAATCAATTCAAAGTTCAAGGATATTTCCAGAACTTTTCAAGGAAAATTTTGAGTTTTTTAATTTTTAAATTTTGATATATTGATCTTTTCTTGACAAGAAAAAAACTAAATATGTAGTACGTTAAAATCTTAATAATACTGAAAGTAAAATTGAACATTTTTTTGTTTGTTTGCATTACAGTAAATACATCATTATCAAATTCAGTATAAATCTATGCAAAATTAACAATAACATTTTAAAAGTAAAACATGATAAAAAAATAATTGAACTATTTTAGAAAAAAGTTCCAGGTATTTACAGGAATTATTGCTAAAAGGGGCATTTTTTCAAGACTTTTCTAGGCCCTATCAATTTCCAGAACTTTTCCAGGTTTTCAAGTTCAGCTGGCCACCCTGTAACAAGTCATTCTAAACAGCTAATCAACCATGTATTTAGTGTCAAAACAAATTATATATATATACAATGCATTAATGTTTATTGCTAAATTCCTGTTTAAACAAAAAAGTTGGTTGTTTTTGATAAAATAAGATTATAACAAATAAAAAAACACAACTATTAAACATCTTCCTTTGAATTAGCTATTAATCAATTTATCCATATAAAACACCAAAAAAAAAAAAGAAAAAAAGAAAAGAAAGAAAGTTCTTTACAACAATTCTTTGTTCCACATTTAATATTTAATGAGTGCAGAAGAAACTTTTATGAAAGTTTATCATGAAATTTTTTTGAGTAATTTAAAACTTCATTAATGTTTAATTTAAAAAAAAAACAATATCAAAACTTCATTAATGTTTAATTAAAAAAAAAAACAATATGCTATTTTTCTTTTAATAATTGAAAATTTCAAACTACTAAATTCTATTTCACACCGTGTTCTAAGTGAGAAAATTTCAATCTACTGAATTCTATTTCACACCGTGTTCTTAGTGAGAAAATTTCAATCTACTGAATTCTATTTCACACCGTGTTCTAAGTGAGAAAATTTCAATCTACTGAATTCTATTTCACACCGTGTTCTAAGTGAGAAAATTTCAATCTACTGAATTCTATTTCACACCGTGTTCTAAGTGAGAAAATTTCAATCTACTGAATTCTATTTCACACCGTGTTCTAAGTGAAAAAATTTCAAACTACTTAATTCTATTTCACACCGTGTTTTAAGTGAGAAAATTTCAATCTACTTAATTCTATTTCACACCGTGTTCTAAGTGAGAAAATTTCAATCTACTTAATTCTATTTCACACTGTGTTCTAAGTGAGAAAATTTCAATCTACTTAATTCTATTTCACACCGTGTTCTAAGTGAGAAAATTTCAATCTACTGAATTCTATTTCACACCGTGTTCTAAGTGAGAAAATTTCAAACTACTGAATTCTACTTACTGCCGTGTTCTAAGTGAGAAAATCCATTAAAATAAACACTATCACCAGGTTGACAATCATTTGGAGGTTGCAAAAGAACAACCTGTCGATTTCCATCCATACTAAAAAAATGTACATAAGCATTTTGCAAATTTTTTTAAACCACTTCTTTTAAATTAAAAAAAGTAACATAAAATATCCTACTAACTTAGTTTTTGATGCAGCAAGAAGCATTCCCTCGGATTTTACTCCTGTAAAATAGAAAAACAAATAAACTGCTAAACAAACTAAAAAAATAATGAAAATTTTATGAAACAATTTAAAATTTTTTTAATAAAAAACAAATAAAATATAACAAATACAATTAAATAAATTATCTCAGATGGTGCCAGAATCAAGATGGTACCAGAAGTCACTTAATCAACTGAGCAACATTACAACAACAACACAGTATGAACAACATGATACAAAAAAACATTATCAAAAAATAAATAAGAATAGCCAAATGAAATGTACAAAAGTTTTAAGAAAGTTCTATATTGTAGGAAAGCTTCCATTATACCAGACAGCAATTTAAACTTTTTTGTTTAGGGTCTACTATGTTACAGTTATGCAAAAATTTAAAATAAAAATACAAAAACCTATTGCATTCCTTTTAAGATAGATAAATAAAAAAGATAAAAAAAATATTGTTAATTTATCTTTTTTTATTAATGACTTTTTTTTCAGTTCATTGACATCTAATGAATTTTTTTTTTTTTCAAATCATAAAACTAAAACTTAATATTGAAAATTGTTATAAAAAAAAATTTAGAAACCGTTATAAAAAAAAAGAAAAAACTTTAATAGACCTCTCATATTTGCTGGTTTCAAGTTACAAAGCACAACACAAAGTTTATTATTAAGTTCTTCTGCTTTCATGTAAGCCTTTAAACCACTAACAATTTGACGTGGCTTGTCTTCACCTAAGTCGATTTCCTCTATGTACAGGGAATCTCCATCTGGATGCTAAAAAAAATATAAAAGTATAAATAATTGGTTTAATAAACAAATTAATTATCAGATATTATTTGATATATTTTATACTTTTCATACAGTTTGACTTACTGGTTTTACAGAGAGCACTTTGCCAACACGCATATCTAATCTTGCTGGATTAATGGGCCGACTATCACTACCTTTGACATCTTTTCAATAAAAATATTTAAGAAATAAATAAAATTAGTCATAATATTTACAAAAAATTTTTTTTTACCTAATTATCTACATATCTATCTCTTTCTCAGGAGTGTACATACATTAACTGATAAAGTCATAAACATTCTTAAAACAATATTTCTAAAAAATATCTGACTCTTTAATGTGTTCTATATAATAAAGTAGCACTGGATTTAAAAAATGCTTGAATAAAAAAACTTTAGGTGTTGTTAAAAAACCTTTTACATTTAATGGTTTCCTAATATTAATAAAAAAATGTTTTTAAAAGCATGTCTGGTTTATAAATGTCATGTATATAAATTATATAAAAATTCTAAACTAATAAACAGCCAAAACTCAGTCAACTTATGCACACTTCTGTGCATCTATGGTCAAATCAGTTAATTTATTACACTCTGATGAGCAATAAATCAGAGATAAATCAGTCAATAGAATAAAAATAAAAAACAGAGGGAATCAAATAAAATAATAAAAACAGTATTTAAAAATAATAATAATATAAAAAACATTTTTTATACTTTTTAATTTAATTAAAAAAGAACAATTATTTCATTATATTTTTGTGGTTTTCTAAAAAACATTATGTTTTCTCAACTGTTTTAATGGTGTTTTAATTAAGGGTAACATGTCATGTTGTTAGACTTCTTAAGTAACTTACTTAACAGAAAGTAATCAGTTTGCAGTACACAAAGTCAAAGTTAGCTAGAAAGCAGTTTCATGCTATAATCACAGATATTCTTTTGTTAATAATTGTGATGGCTCATACTGTTTACTACATAGCAAGACTGTCAAAGCTAAAAACCTTTTGAAAATTTAGAAGAGTGTGTTCAACTTGCCATCAGGCAAAAATGAAAAGACATGGTTCCAAGAAAACACAATAACTGTTGTAAACTCATGACGGGGTTATTCCCTAAACTTAAACTTTATTTTAAAAAAGCTAGGTAAAACTAAAAGCAAAGTTTTCTAAACAGAACCAAACATTGCAGTTAGATTTGAGGGAAGCCATAATGAAAATATGGTGCTATAAAATAATGCCAGAATATTGTCTCTGGTTATCCTCGGGCCACAAAGAATAGATTTTGCTGTGAGAAGCCCATACAAAGTCCTTAAACGTATTTTATATTGTTATGTATAAAAATTGTATGCTGTAATGGCATATTATTTTATAAATTAAAAAGCTTTTTATATTGTTATGTATAAAAATTGCATGCTGTAATGGCATATTATTTTATAAATTAAAAAGCTTTTAAGTGTCTTGTTGGGTCTCAAAAGAAGCAAAACTATATAAAAACATCAAAAATAATTATTTTATAAAAAAATATTGATAAAAAAAAAACCCAAAAAAAAACTAAAAAACTTAGACTAAAAAACACTGCTAGAGACTTGCTAAAAATGTAACAGTGCTAATATTAAACAATATTATGATTATTTGTTTGTAGTTTTAATTTAGGGCTAAATGTAAAGGAATGTCAGGTCAGGTTATAGTATTTAAAAAAAAATTAAATAAGACAGGTGGATGAGGGAGTTATGGAATTATTATTATTTAAAAGGTAGTTGCTAAATATTGTTTCAGTATATGCAACTTAAACAGTAGAAGAACTTTACATTGTTTTTGGTAAGTTTTAAAAAATGAAAGGCTGATTGATGTGGAGGCATATATGGGCATGTTGTTGCAGCTACAGATAATTTTGAAAATGTATATAGAGAAAAAATAGGGTAAACAGTGCAGTTGAACAAAGAGTATTAAAAAACGATTTAAAACATAAGTATAATAATAATATTTCATTTGGAAATATGTACAAAATATAGTTATAAAAAGTGTATGAATTTTAAAGAATCATAATCCATGGTTCTAATCGTTTATGCGTCCAATAACTATACATTTCAGTGTTTTTTGTTAAAATATTTTTTTTTGTAAAACAATGAAATTATTCATAAAATAAACACAATTATTAAAATATTTTTAAAAAAATCATTAAATGTCATTGAATTTCAAAGCATGTTTTAATTATTATGTATGAAAAACCCACATAAAGTTGAGTAATACCTTAAGTATCCAATAACTCTACTGTTTATCCTAATTTGCTTAAAAAATTTTAAAAGATAAATGTCAATTAAATTTTTAAATACAATTGAATATACAGTCACTAAATATATAATAATACATAGGTTGCAAAAAAGAACCAATTTATGAGTAAAAAAAAATTATAAAAAAAAAAAAAAATCAACTTAAGAAGTAACTTATAAGTGAAGCAGCTTTAAGAAAAGTGGAATATAGCGTGGAATATATAATAATAAGAAAGTAAATTAGTGGGAGAGTAACAAAATACAAAATAAAGCTTGAATTAGTTTTATTAGCTAAAATCTTAGCAGCTCAAATTAGTTTGACATAATTGATGGAAAATTAGTTTGATATATAATTGATGGAAAATTCAGAGAAAAAAAAAGAGAGCTTTGTGAGTGAGTGAATGGAAATGGAATTTGTGAGTGAGTGAATATGGAAAGTCTATGAAAAAACGTTAAGAATGTTGAAAGTATATGGAAAAATATAAAGATATGTTTTAACACAAGAAATCATTGTGGTAGAATGCAAAATTGTAGAAGGAAAAAAAAAAAAAAAAAGGATATTTTCATAAAACATGGGTGGTCTGAACTTTTTTGACAATTGTTAACACGGGGGAGGAGGGAGGTCAATTAAAGTTGATGTCAACAATTTTTTTTTTTGAGTTTCGTTGCTTAAATAACGGAAAATTAGGCTGAGGAGGTTAAAATTTCAAAAAAATTGACGCAATTAATGGACAGCCCCTAAGTGAAGAGTTAAATAGGAATAAATTAGATTTATCAGAATGAACAACTTCAGTCGATTTATAAATAGAGTTTATAAGAGATTTATAAAGAAAGCAAATAAACACTCAAATGTTCAATAGAAACAAATTCACTAAGTTACAAAGATTTTAGGAAGAATTATTGCCAACAAAATAAAAAGATGTGTATTTATCATTAACAAGCAGTTTGGTTTTAAGAAGAGGAACATCAAACGCAATAATTAATATTAAGGCAGATTTACAAGAATCCATTTACAAGAAATAATGCCAAACGGAATGGAAAAGAAAATTATCCAACCATGTAACATAAAAATTGCACACATTAAAATTTTTTAGCTACATGATTCCATGATTTCTTTTTTGTTCTGTTCCACGGTTTTTCCTGTAAGGGGTAATCTGCCTTAAGACAAATTCAAGAAAAAAAATTATGTGGGTGAAATTTCGGATTCTTTTTAAAGATATTTTTTAAAAACTTCTGAAATGTCAAAAATTCTTTAAAAAGAATCTTTTTTGACAGTTTTGAAAAAGTGGTGTGATAGACAGTGAAGTATTTAAGTGTTAAAGAATGGTTAGTTGTCATAACTACGTATAAAAATAATACAATAGAAATCAAAGCAAAAGATGGAAGTAACAATAATACTCAGTTTACTTTTTATAATGGTTTTAAAAGTTTTCCCTAAAGAGTTTAGAGTTGATTTACCATGAAAGCTATTACATGCAGATGACTTATGCTTGATTGCAGAGACAGATGAAAATTTACACTTCAGGTTAAGAGAGATGCAATAAAAGCAAAAAGAAAAGGACCAACATGAATGTAGATGTGTATATTTATATTTTTAGAGGTATGAATAATTTTAAACCTTTAGAAAATAATTTTGCAAAAAAAAAAAAAAAAAAAAAAGTTATATTTCACGGACACATTTTACACCAACTTTCGTAGATTGTAATTATTCATTTCAAACCTATTCTCGTAGCTTGTAATTATTTATAAATTGCTTTCAGTTTACAAAATATAAATTTTTTTTAAAGAAAATCCCATTTTTCCTTTTTTTTGTTTTTGTTTATTACTTCTTTAATTTAATAAGTCCAATTTTTCAAATTTAGCAAAAAGCATAATGCATTAATATAATATAAAAATTAATCATAATTGCTTGATTTGTTGTAACATAAACTACGAATTTTTGTAAATATTTTCAATAGTCATTGTTTTATCAATTTTTAAGATTTATTAGGTAATAAAATAGTTAGGGTAAAAAAATGAAACTAACAAAAAAAGTTGAAAAGTATAATTAAAAGAGAAAGTAATAAAAAAATAATTACTAGTCATACAATGTTTTGTAACTTGAAATTATGCAAAACTGTATGCTTTTGTTTTTTAAAAATGTAAAAAGAATTTACAATTATTACTGAGAGTTCAAAAAAACAGATTTTAATAATAAAAAGACTTCAAGAAGAGTTTGTGATAACCAGAGATGTGGAGTCGTAAAAAAAAAGTACCGACTCCAACTCTTTGAAAAATTCTTTGAATTCTACAAAAAATATTACGAGATAATTTAAAAAAAACATTTTTTGCAAAATTTATGAAAAGTTCTTTGAAGGTTTAATATGAATATTAGGTAAATTGAATATTTTGTACATGCACATACAATACCGAGAAGTTTTACTATTGGAGTCTGAGTTGCAATTATGTTTAACAACTCTGACTCCGCTAAAAATGTTGCGACTCCATGACTCTGACTCCACAGCCCTGGTGATAACTGCAGCTTGAAAAATTGAATCAAATTGTCACAAAGGCTTTATTGCCTGAGTTGTTTAACTTTGATTCAATTTAAGTTTAGCCACCTTCTCAAAAAACATTTAATTTGCCAAGTTGAAAATTAAAAACTTAATAAAAACATCAAATAACAACAAACAAAAAAGAAAAAACGCTTATCATTAAACTTCAGAAGCAACAAACAGAAGAAAATTATTTATTATTGTTTTATCAGTGCATTTCTTTAAAACATGCAAAAACCCGTAGTCAAGTTGTCAAAAAAAAAAAAAAAAATATGCGTGGTCATGAGGTATGCAATCACACACGTATCCTGAGAAGGCTTGCCTGAAGTAAATTATAGAAAAATTTCATTTTTGATATTTTGATGGTTTTAAAATCTGGCGAAAAATCTTGGCAACAGAAAAATTTCATTAAATAAATTTAAAAAAAAGCATCTGTAGAAATCTAATGAAATACTTCCTAAAGTGACAACCCTCTATAGCAATCTTGATTGTCAACCTTTTGTAACTGAAGCAAACCTTTCACTTGAAGTATCTACTAATGAAAGAGAAAAAATTTTCTTTCTAATATTCATCCAATATTGGCTTTCATACAATCTCTGAACCTTATTTTATACAACCTTCAAGTATTAAAGTAACCAAGAAAACAAATAAGAAGATTTATAGGAGTTTCTTTTTTGTTTGTTTTATAACTATAACAATAATAAATGTAATAATAATTATTATTAGGATAATAATTATGCTATCTTACTCTCTTTGACAGGTTTTGGATAAGCAAGGTCAGATAGTTTTTTCATTTCAGGATCATCAAACACCTTTCGAATAGGTGCAAGCAGCTATATTTAGTGAAAGAAATTAAAAGTAATACAAATAATAAAACAAAGTTATTATTAATTTTAAAAATAAAGTAAATATATATGCAGACTTAGCATTTTAGCAGTATTTATTTAGAATATGCTAAACTTATATTTTAATAAATATATTATAAACTGGTTAAATAAGTTTTAAAATCACCATCCCCCACCCCCTCCTTCCTCCAAAAATGAAATAACTTATAATGAAAATTTATAAATAATTAAAAAATATTTTACAATCAAAAAATAAATGTCATAATTTATATTATTATTGCTTTTACTAATAAAAAAATTACCTCGTTTAGAAAATTTGTAACTGATGCCTTTAAATCTCCGGGATGTAATTTCTATAATAAAAACAATTTAACTGATGCACAGATTTAAAAAATGAAAAAAATATGAGATATATATTAGTGACGTTAATATAAATACTGACAGATTTTTATGTGAGCAGGTATCTATGTAAACAAGACAGTATGTGCTTAAACCGCAACTAAAATCAATAAAATAGTGGACCTGTGGCCATAAGACTTTAGGTCAAGCCTGGATCAAAGTGTTCAGATTACTGGTTCATAATTTTCTGAAATCTTGACTATAAATAAAGTTATGAATTAAGTTAATTAAGGTCAATTAGCTATGTCTTTTATTGGGGCCTACTTTAAAACTGTAATTATAATGTGAAACATTAAATAGATTAATTCTTAAGAAAATTAAAATTTACAAAAATGTACAAAAGTTGTAGACCAGAAATTTTAGGTTCTGAAATAATTTATTGTTTTTTGCCTAAATTTCAAATACAAAATTACTAACTTCAACCATTATTAAAACAATTTATGAAAAAACAAACCTCTATCAACTATTTAACTATTTTTTACTACTTAATTGTGTTTAAGTGTCTTTAATATTTAAAAGAAATGTTGCAAAAGTACAACATAGGGTGAAAAAGATTAAGAAACCACCATTCAAGTCATAATACCCAATCTTTATCACAATCACTCAATGCAATAAGGTGGATCAAACCATTTTTCATTGATATTACGTAGTTAAAATTTTTTTTGTTTTTGCTAATTTTTAGACAGCTTTCATACAATCTGCTTTCAGATCTATAGATACAACCTGTTAAAATAAATCACTACCAGAATAAAGTTCACACCAAAAATGTGTTTCTGTCAATTTAATTTTTGAGCAAACATAAATGCAAATGATACTGCCTTTTACGCCATATTTTTGGTCTTGTCAATAAAGTATATACCCATTTCAATTTGTATGAGTTCTACCGGTCCACCAGGTTTCAGTAATAAAAACTACATCCTAGTGATCACTTTCAATTTGAGCTTCCAATTCTGATATCTTATTGTTCAATGATGTAGTATTAAGGCATCAACATAAAATCTTTATTTTGTATTCTTTTTTAGTTAAGTTAATATTTTTAATAGTACAAATATTCTCATTTTCAACAGTATTATTGCTAAAAGCGTCATCAATACAATATAACTGAAAACTATTTGCCTTCAGTAAACTGTTTCCTAGCTTTTTAACCTATCCTCTATTTTAAAGTAACTCATAACTTAATAGTGGTTGCTTGCAACTTTGTTGGAAGTAAAATAGTTTAAAAATGTATAAATAAACGCCAGTATTTAACAAATAGTAAATGTAAGTATAAAATAATAATATATAAAGTATTATAAACTTTTTTTTTCAGGGGTTAATAGCCTATTAACCCCTATTGAACCAGGGGTTAATAGCCATATAAATGGCTATTAACCCCTGCTTAATCTTATGATTTTGCAGGGTTTGCAAAAAGTCTCATTTTTAAACGAGGCAGGGTTTGCAAAAAGTCTCATTTTTAACCAGGGCAGGGTTTGCCAAAAGTCTCATTTTTAACCCGGTTACTTCTATTTACTTTGTTCTCTAAAATTTTTTTAGATAAAATCTGTTCCGCTTCTATTAAGACTAGATTTACAAAAATCTCTTGAATAAATTGGTGATATAATCATATAAATCAATGGTCAAGTCTTTAACATATTTAAAAATGAATAAAGTACCTTTAAGTCAAGTTTGTTAACATATTTAAAAATGAATAAAGTACCTTTTAATACTATGTTCCTTTGATTTTATTTTCTAGACCAATAACCAAGTCCTTCTCATTTAGAGACCAAATTTTTAATTTTTGCAGTCAATCCATCTATAATTACTTTTAGCACTGCAACAGTTGATATTATTCTTTTTTTTTTGTTTATAAATTATCATTTTTATTTTTTTGCTGTATTTTTTTTTTTTGGTTTTTAAGTAAAAAAAATATAACAACAAATATATTTTTTAACTACAACGGAGTGTCCTTTGGCAATTGATTTTATGAAATATGTTATGGTCTATAGCAGAATTGAAATAACCACAAGTTTGTAAGAAATAATATATCCTTAACATCATCTCTAACAACAGCAGATAAAAACAAAACATATACACAAAAGGCAGCTATTCTTACAAACACTACAACCCCAAATATTTCAACAAAAAATACAATACCTATGATCTTTTGTCTAATAACTCCAAAAATACGCAAAAATCTTGATAAGAGCAGAAATACAATCAGAGATACATACAATCATAGATAGGTCAAATAAGATAAAAAAGTCACTATTCAAGCCACCAAAGCTGAGACAAACTAAAACGCTAGATTGATTTTGTCTTTTTTTAAAAAATACACCAGCGTTTATAATACTAAATTGTAAGACTAAGGTGTAAGACTAAATTGCTACCTATATCGAATAACTCAAATCATAAAGTTAGTAACAATGCTACACAAAATTAAATATATACTATCTATGAATCAAATATATTCTACTATGAACCAACCTTTTCACTGAATGCTTCTTCAAGCTGAATGTAGGTAGAAAAATCAAGGTTTCCACCATTTTCTTCAGACCGAAATATTTGAAATACTAAAAAATTGAAAATATTAGAAAAAGATGTTTTTTAAGAAAATCAAAAGGTTATAAATCAAATAAAATTGTAAAAACAAAATTTACAAGAAATTCCTTTATGCTCCATAACTGGGAATAGAACAAATTTGCAGAATGCTAAAACACCATTTTCAGTGATATTACCTTCCTCACAAAATGCCTAAAAATTTTCAAATTTTTAATTATTTAACATAAATGCATTAAATTACTAACATTTTAATGCTAAAATTCACATTCCATGTTTTATTTTGACTAAATTATTATTATTGTAAATTTATTTGCTCAATTATGTAAATGTTATTAAAACTGTTGATAATTATGTAAATGCTACTGAAACTGTTGATAATTTAACAAACCGCTTTAGGGAGATAACCACATAAGGCATGGTCACAGATAAATATTTTCTAAATCTTATAAAAGTCTTTATTGCACACCTTTATACATATTTCACTTCACAACTTTATACATACTTTGTACTAGATAAAAGAATTATTTTATAATATTAAGTTATTTTAGTGCTTAATGAGGATGTGAATTTATAATATAAAATAATTTCTTATTTTAATATTCTATTGTAAGTTTTTTTAATGATTTTTTCAACCTTTAATGAATTTTGACCAATGTTGTTTATCTTTTGTCAGAAATTTTAAACAATGGTCAGCCCACAACCAGTATTTACTTATCCTATGTACAACCAGTATTTACTTATATATATACTCTGCAAAAATGTTTATAATTAAAAGCTTAAATGAAGTGTTAAACAAGTTTAAAACTTTCTTAATACATAATTTTAAAAAATTTTAGGACCCTCAGACCAACTTTTCTGTAATTGCATATCAAGAGGTACCAGAAAATTTTATTTTTTAAATGAACATAAGTGTTTTAATCCATACCCTAACAAATATACCTTTATTTTCAATATTAAAGCTTTAAGGTTAAAATACTATTATAATATTATTATGAAATAGTCCCTTATGAAATAGATATGAGATGATATTGATAAAAAATTCTTAGCAAACAACTTATCTTTGTCTTTAGGTGAGGTGACAATTTCTGAGCCATACAAAAGTAGAGGAATAGTAGATTATTATTGATACTATTAAAGATTCTCCAGAAGTCACAAGAACCTAATTTTTGTGATAAAATATGGGATTTCTTGACCTGAGAATAGCAAGCTTGGGAAAAGATTACTACATTTGTCCAACAACATCCACGGAGTAGTGAAATAACATCTGCACATTTTTGTGTAAGATCATCCGCTTTTTTTCTTTACTGAATTAACATCTGCGAAACAACATCCGAAATTTCATTGATGTCTAATAACATCTTTAGAAAGATGTAACTACATCCAAGAGTTTTTCTCGATGTGTAACTACATCCGCCTAAAATAATGCATTATTAAAAATAAAAAATAAAATAAATTTCCGGACGTAGTTACATACAAAAAAAATCAGATACCTAACTACATCTGGTTAAAATTATGCATTTAAAAAAAAAAAAATTTGGATGTAGTTACCGAAAAATCTACAGATGTAGTTGCACGGATGTTATTATACATCAATGAAATTTGGGATGTTATTACACGGATGTTGTTACACATCAATGAAATTTGGGATGTTGTTGCACGGATGTTATTATACATCGATGAAATTTTGGATGTTGTTTCACGGATGTTATTATACATGGCAAAAACGGATATTATTGCCCTGACCCACAAGCTTTGGCGATAGACAAAACCTTTTTAAAATGGTTTCTAGCAATAGTAAACAGACGTCTGTTTTCTGGAGAATTGTTTTGATGATGGATATGGAGGTAACAGTTTAGATTGGAAATTGCAGGTTATCCTGCTACTGGTAACATGTAACCCAGTATAATCTGCTTCATGTCTTGCTGCTTTGTAGGATACGCTTGTTCAGGCAAACACTAGGACAATATAACTCCGACTTAAAACACCCCCTGCCTTGGGGCTCTTGTTTGAGTAAAGGCTAGAGATAGTGTCTCGATAAAAATACCCGTCTTGGGCAGATGTTATATGCATCTGGCTACTGTCTTGTGGAAGGCCTCCAAGGCAGAGACGGAAGGGGTAAACAGATTCTATCTGTTGACCAGCCTCGCATCCTTTTTTCATCTGTTAGGCTGGTGCAAATGTATTTTGAATACATTGTTTCCAGTTTAGGATGTTGAATGCTGGATCTTCTTGACTCAATGCGTGTTTTTACTACTAAGCAACTTAATCTATTATCTCCTAATTAGGGTACAGCTCTAAAACTCACTTTTATGGTTCTGAGGCCAGCTGGTAGTCAGGTTTCCTGAACTCTGTGGTAGCTCAGCTACGGAATGTAGGAATTTTTGTAGAAAATTTTGTTTTCGTTTTTTATAAGGAAACCTTTTGTTTCGTTTTTCATTAGGAAATTTCATAGAATTTTTCTTAGGATTCCATTTCGTAGGAAATTTTATAGGATTCCATCAACAGCAGAAAAATATAAAAGTACTAACAGTGCCATGTTGCGCTTGGATGGTCTCCCTGTTCGTACTTTTGGTGTGCATTGTTGAGGCCCCATTTGGAACCCTTTGTTATGGCTTAGGGTTTATTAACAGTAATGAGGCAATTGCTTGGGCTATTATACAATGTACTGAGTACTGTCAATGCTTTGAGTCAAGTTCTTTAACATATTTAAAAATGAATAAAGTACCAAAACTTAAAAACACAAAAAACAATCATCATCACCAAGTTCTCTAAACCTATCATTCACTAATATTTGTAGTCTTTGAAATAACTTTTCTTCTGTTGTGTCTTATCTCTTGCAAAGTTCACCAGAGCTACTTGCTTTGTGAGACTAATTTGAGTTTAGCTGTCTCATCTTGTAATCATAGTGTTGTAATGTTGATGGTTATTTTCCTTTGATACTTAAAGACTTCAATAGTCACATGATTGGCCTGGGAATTTACATTCGTAAGAATTCACCCACTTTTTGTGAAACTAGGTTTGAACCCACAGTCTATTCTTTAATGTGCTTTCGTTTAGCATTTCATTCGCTTTTCTCTTTGATTTGCTCTCCTCCATCTCAAGACTGCACTCTTTTTAATGACTCTTTTTTAATGATGTTATTTTGACCAAATTCAAATTGACCAAAACCTCTCTTTTTATCCATCAGCCAATATTGTTGTTGTTGGTGACTTTAATGCTCATCACACTGAATGGCTTGGCTCTAGTGTCAGTGACTCTGCAGGCATTAAAGTCCACAACTTTTGTCTTTCTCAATCCCTAACTCAAACAGTCAACTTTTCAACTCACTTTCCAGACAACCCAAATCATTTACCTTCACTACTCGACTTATGTCTTGATTCTAATCCTAGTCAGTGCTCAGTGTCTCCACATTCACCCTTAGGTGCTTCTGATCACGGTTTGATCTCTCTAAAACTATTATCTCATTCTTCTTCATCATCTGAATCCCCCTATCACTGTACCTCTTTCTGTGATTTTCTTTGTAAATAAATGACCCTTGGGTAGAAATCTTTCGTCTTCCTGCTGACAAATGTGCTTCTTACATAACTTTGTAGATTCAGGCTGGCATGGAATCTTTTAATCCCTCTCGTGGGGGGGATTTTTGCTACTTTTATAATAAAAATGCTTCAAGGTGCTTAATGGGGGGAGAATTGATGATTTTTGGAAAATTTTTCCTCCCACACCAAGCTTATTAAAACCCAACCCCCAACCCCATTTTGTTCATTTTCACTTGTTATAAACAAAAAACTATATCTCAAAACAAAAATTCTGTGAAAATTGGCTTTAAAATTAAACAAATATATATTGGTAACCAATAAATAATAAAACTTTCATTGTAAATCCTCCCCCTTTTTTTTATTGTTTCCTCCTCCCATTTTATACATCCGGACTAAAATTCCCACCCCCACCTACCTTTGTATTAAGCACATTAGAGTAGTCAGTAGCAAAATTCCCCCCCCCCCCTCCACATGATTTTCATATTGAGCCCCACATCGCCCATACAACCTAAAATTAGCTTAAAAATAGGACTCTTTTTGTCTGCTACCCCCCTCCCCGCAGTTTCGCCACTGAGAGTAGTACTGACATGTACTTAAAACTAAAAACAGAGGTGTTCAATTTAATAAATTTTAGTTATAAAGAAGTATATTTAGAAATATATTTTTTTGTCTTTACTTTTTTTATGATTTAATTAATTAAATAATAAAACAAAATTTAAGTTTATAGCCTCCTTCCCCCCCTCCCCTTTTAATATAGATTTCTCCTAAGAAGTAAATTACCAGTGTTTTCATTGGTTGATTTTAAAGTGAATGCGCGTTTTTTCCAGACCGTTAGTAAAATGTTTAGAAATGCTAAACTGTTTATAAAAATGTGTATTTCTAAAAGTTGCTTAGGTTTTTAACATTGTTTAAATATCTGTTGTATTTTTTCTAGATGCATTACTACTTTAATTAAAGTTTGGAATTACTTAACTAAATCATTTTTATTTATAAAAGCATGATTATGTGTTGTTTGATCAAACAATAAACTATAAATGTAACTTAAAAGAGTGTTATAAAAGTAACAACACTGTAGTGTTATTACTTTTGTAGTCATAAATTTATTGTTTTGTTTTTCATAACATTTTCACTAACAAATTAAAGTTTATTAGCCTATTCCGTAAATTTCGTGGTTTTCCATAAACTAAAAATTTGAAGACCAGATAATTTAACAGATACCGCAAATCGCGATGCCTTAATTCAACCCTTGCATCGCCTATAGCAATACATCGCCTATAGCAATGTCTGCTATAGGCGATGTATGGCATAAAAACGATGATCATTTTAAAATAATTTTTATGCGGTAGGGTTTGCCATACGCAGCGTTACTCAATGCATTTGTGCTTTAACTGGTTTAAAGTTACATAACAGTTGACTAAAAAAAATTAAGTGATCAAACTTATAGTATTTAATAATGGTTAGTTTGGAAATGTTGAAATGCTGATAAAAAATAAGAAAAATTCTGGAGCCCTGGAGTCCCAACAATTTATAAAATGGACAGGACTCCAGACTCTGCATAAAAACAAGGACTCTGACTGCATCCCTGATGATGATGAACTGTTTTATTTTTCTTGTTGGAAGTGAAGATTAAAAAAAAATAATTTTTTTTTTAATTAAACTGTTTCACTCTTACATTTATGGTGAATGAAGTATCCAAGTTGATAGCTAATTATAAAAATACTTAAATAAAAAAGCAACCAATGATAACAATTAAATTCCAAAAAATTATAATAATTTTAACAATTAAACAAATTAAATTTCTTGTGAATTGAGAGCTTCTGGAGGTTTATATGAAACATGAACCTTAATTTTATTGAGACGCCTAGGTTTTAAAATTTTTTTGTGTCTTTGTGTTGAATGTAAAATATTTGTTTCAAAGTTTTGGCAAGAAACTGTGCTGATTGCAACTGTTTTTCAGCTTCTACTTTTGAGTTCCCAGTAGGCACAAGTCATATTTCATGCTATGTTGGTGTAGATTTACAAAGCAATAAATAGTTACTGCTGGTGGTAATCGCATGGATTCTGTTGGTTGAGATTATAAAAACTTGGGTTAAGATGATGGTGTTCTAAATGTATTAACAATTTGTTATTTTGACTGAACAATTTTATTGATGTCAAGTGAAAACCAAAAACGATTTTATTGATGTCAAGTAGAAACCAAAAATAATTTTATTAATGTAAAGTGGAAACCAGACTTTTAAAATCAGTTTGACAAAAGTTTGTAATCTGAAACAGATTTGATAACAATTGATTTTTTAGAATTAATCTCATTGGTCAGTTTGAACTTAAGTTTTTATCAAGTTAACAATTAGCATATTTCATTTCAAGCCCATAGTTTTCTATTTTCATTTTTAACTCATAGCTTTTTACTTCTTGATTGGCATAAAAAGTTATGATCTTTACTGATAACTTCATTATAATTTTAACTTTATTTTACCCAGGTAGAAAGAAATATTTGACTTTAACTTGACTTTGGTGCTAATGCATAGGACTTTGATGCTATGTTGGTGTTTTTTTTGTTTCTATTTAGAAGGCAATGGCGGATTAAAAATAATATATTAAAATGATTTAATAGTTTTTTTTATTGTTTTTTGATGATTAGAACAATAGGATTGGTTGATATGTAATGTATTGATTTGTAAATTTATTATGCATTTGCAGGTTCTTAGTAAAAAAAAAAAAGGTAAATAAAAAGTGATATTTAATAATCTATTTAACATTTATATTAGTCAGTAATTTACCTCAATCTAGAATTATAAGATATTTTTGAATAATGTTTTTAAAAATGTTTGCAAAACATTTTACACTTTTATCTTGTTGATTTTATTATGTTTTTATTTGCAATGAACTTAAATTAAATAAAAAGGAAAGTATTTAAAGGTTTTTATAAAGTTATTATTTTATTTTATTTTTTTAATACAGAGAAAGCAGAAAGAAAAAAAAAGTGAAACAGAATAAACAAAAAAAAGATGACAATGAAACAAAATTCTTTAGGAAATCTGAGGTAATTCTGTCAATAAGCATTTTATTAATACCATATCCAATATCCAGGGCGATACTCTACCTGTTTCCTAAACCTTCAGTCAATTTATGTACACCCCCTTTTACCTATTTTAGTCAATGTACAATGTCCACTCCACTGTCAGTACAGTTATAACAGTCCATTTATGTATGCATTGATGCACTTTGTTCTATAAAACTTGTTTGAAAAATTAAAGTATTGAAACATTTTTTAGTGTGCAAATGATTTTTATATTATATGCACATTATTTGTACGCGCGGAAAAATAATAAATTTCTTTACAAACACATGAGATATTCTTGGTTACAAAAAATGCATTAGATTTCAGGATTTTTTCTGGGAAGGAACATTTCTTTAAAATCTGGGAAGGAACATTTCTTTCAATTTTTTTTTATACAAATGAAAAGTATTTCAGTACTTATTTAGACATAAATTACTGTTTTAACTATTTATTGACTAAGTCACAAAAAAAAATTTTTAATTTGTAATTCCAGAAAACTATTTGGTTATCAGGAAAAAATTATGTTTTAAAGAAATATCCAGAAAAAGTGTAAAATAAAAAGCTTGTTAGCTTGGTTAAACAGTGTCTGAAACAGTGCTGGTGTTGACCTTTACTGTGCTTTTTTCTTATATTTTGATTAATCAATTTAAAAAGAAATAAAATTTCTTGATATTTTATTTTAATAAGTCTAAACAAAAAACTTTTTTAACACGACATTACTTTTTATCTATTTTTAGTTAACACTTATTTTAAAGGTTAGGTCAGATTAAACAACTGAAAAAACTCACGAAAGCATAATAAAAAATAGCTCTAAAATTTTATTTATAAAAAGTATTATTGTGGAGTTTACTGCACCCTAACAAGTAAAATACAACTTGTGGGCAGAAGCCTGTGTGTGCAGTTGCACACTGTTCATGGGAAAGCTTGAACATTATTATATATATGTTTTATAATGCATATTTGAATTTAGTGATTATGAAGGTATAATCTATAATCAGAAATGTAATTTCTGAATTGAAATTTTTTAATGATCCTTAATAAGCTTAAGTTGATTGTTTAATAAAATTTACTTCAACTTTTTTTCACCAAACATTTTAACTAAAAATAAAAACCTGTTATAAAATATATCAATCATAAAGTTTAGACTCTTTTTAAACTCCTATACATGTATTTAAAAGTATTTTCAAAATTTCTTTATAAATTAATTTTTGTTTAAACATAACTTAAAAAAAAGTACATACCTTTGAAATTTTTTTTTTAATGAGTTTTTCGTCATCAAGTAAATCGATTTTTGAATCCTAATTCAAAAATTGAACATGAAAATACATAAAAAATGGGACAAAAATGTTACAACATTAAATCGAAAATGAAATTTGGAAATAGATGGAATAACTGTGATACAACATTAAATCAAATATGAAAATACATAAAAAATGGGACAACTGGTGCACAACTGTGCATATTAAAAATTTAAATTAAAATTTTTTGTTAAACACAGCCAAATTTTTGCTTTAAAAACTGAAAATTTATTTAAAAATTAAAAAATGGCTTAAATAATTAAAAAGTTGATTACTTCTTCAGATGAGCTCATTTTGCCACCAGTCAATCCAGGTACTGAAAATATAAACACGAAAATCAATTTTGATAAAGAAATACTTGCTCACAAAAAATTACATAATAAAATGACAATTAATGACAAAACATGACACATTAATGACAAACAGCATGACTAATAATGACAATAACAACAAATAACAATAATGTAATAACAAAGTAGCAACAACATAATAACAACAAATAACAATAACAACAAATAATATAATTACGACAAATAATAATAACATAATAATAAAAAATTAACGACAGTAATGCAAGCCTTCCCAGGTAAGATGTGCGGTTGTTTGTCTCGTATGACCACACGCGTTTATATTATTTTAAAAAATGTGAACACGGCCATTTGCAAGTTTTATAATAATGCTGAAAAAGTTTAAAAAACAAAAAAACAAAACTAACAAAATAAAAAGAGATTAAAATAGATAAAAAAACAAACAAATTAATAATTTAAATTATTTGTGTACTGTTTTTATTTTTGTTTCTTTAGAGTTACATTCAGCAACAAAATTAGATAAAGCGAAGCAAAAAAAAAAAACAGTTTGGAGTCTACAATAAAAAGAATGATTTTCCTTTTTTAATTTTTTTTAGAAGGTAGCAAAAATACAAATTGCAATGTGTTTGTAAAATTTATTTGTATAATTTTAATGTAACAACAAGGGTTGAATTAAGCGAATGCAAAATGCAAAATCTAGAAAAATATCTAGTATTCAAAATTTTAGTTTATACAAAACCGTGTTCCTTTTTTTTAAGGGGAGAATCAACTTAAATTTGTTAGTGAAAAAATAAAAAATAAAACAAAAAACTTACAATTACAAAATTAATAACACCATAATAGTGTTATTACTTTTATAATGGACTTATAACTTTTAAAATTCATTCTTTGTTCAAGCAACATTAGTATTCCCAAATTTTAATTGAAGTAGAAAAATATCTAGAAGAATAAAGTGGATATTCAAATAATATTAAAACTAAAGTAACTTGAAAAAAAAGTGACAAACAACTTTATGAAAATGTATCGTATTAAAAGTTTAGCATTATGAAAAATGTTACTAATAGACCGTAAAAACGTGCGTTAATTTTAAAATTAACCAATAAAAATTTTTTATTGGTTGATTTTAAAATTAACGCTTTTACGTAAAGTTTTTCATAGTGCTATACTTTTTATAAAGTACTTTTTTATAACGTTGTTTAAGTGATCTGTGAAAGTTCCTGAAATTTTTAATAATATTTTCTACTTTAATAAATGTTTGGGCTTAATAATGTTGTTTGAGCAAAGAATGAACTTTAAAAGTAATAAGTGCTTTATAAATGTAATTTATAACACTATTATAGTTTTATTACTTTTATAATGCAGTTTGTTTGCAATGCAAAATATATATAAATGCAAAAACAATGCCTATAATAGTAAACACTATTATAGTTTTATTACTTTTATAATGCAGTTAGTGACTAAAGTGTTATTACTTTTGAGGTTGTAAGTTCATTGTTTTTGCTTTGTTTTTTTGTAACTTTCTTGTTAGCAAACTTTTAATAATTTGCTCTTTATAAACAAAGTACACAACTTTGCATGAACTAAAATTTTAAAAACCTAATATTTTACCAGAGTTTGCAAATCACAATTGTATAATTTAACTCTTGATAGAAACTTGTTACATTATAATTATACAAATATATTTTACAAACAGATGACGATACATATTTTCTTATTCCTCTTTAAAAGAAAAAATATATAAAATATGGGAAAGTCATCCTTTTTAACGCCTAAAACCATTTTTTTTTTTTTGCTTTGACTTAATGAATTTTGTTGCCAATAATAATAACCACTTAGAAAAATCAAAAATAAAAACAACACACAAATTATTTAAACTATTATTATTGTTTTCAATTAAAGTTTACTTTAATTTTTTATGTAGTTATTATATTTAAAGCAATTTTTCAGTAATGCATATAATATAACTTGCGCAAACGGCCGTGATCACGTTCTCTAACTTGAAAACGTTTTCGTGGTCGTATGAGTCAAAAAACCGCACGCCTTTCCTGGGAAGGCTTGGTAATGACAAGTAACAATAACATAATAAAAAAAATTTTATCAACAATTATTTTTTTAAATTTATTATTTAATTTATTTTTACATAAAAACAAATTATGAAAAAACAAATCCATTAGATTAAAAAAAAAAAAATACCCATTGGATTCATTAAATGAATTCGTTTTTTATAGCCAAGCATTGGAAGATACTAAATCAAAACATAATTTTTTTATAGCTAAAATAGCAAAAGGTAATATTTTACGATTAAAAACTTCTTATAAGATTATAAAATAAATATAACAAATAATTTTTTGAAATTATATAACATGATAAATAGTTTATAAGATTATTAAATATATAAATAAACAAAATAAATAATTCTTATAAGATTATAAAACTTTCATCAGTATCTTTGTTATCAAATTATCTCCATTACTATAATATTATTTAATACAATCTTTCGATTCAAAATAATCAAATACCATTTGATTTTAATTGATGCCTTGTTTTAAAATAAAAAACTAACCTTCTCAGCAAAAGTAAAAATCTTTCGTTGATCAACTCCTCCAAACTGAGCATCCACATTCAAGTATTCTTCGTCAAGAGCCTATGATTAAATACAAGATTAAAAAAAACTTTGAAGCAAAAATCGTCCATGTAAAAAATACAGCATTTTCAACCATAAGTGAAATTCTATTAGGGATTGTCCACAAATTATGTAATGCAAACTTTCACAAAACAAAACAGAAAAGATCAAAAATTTAGCCTCACAGAGTCTTAACTTAAGTATAAAATCAAAGTACCCCATTAAGTTTATTAAAAATTGATGCGTAAAAGAGCCTAATATCTCCTACTTCTGTTTTTTAAATATATTTTGCGTACCATAATTTATGGACGATCTCTTAGAGCTGTAAAAACAACTATTAATAAATGATTTTTTTATCTGAAAACTTTATTGGAGCTTTAATTAGACTCACTTAAAAAACTATGAACTGAAAATTCACTCTCAACAAAAAAGTAATATCTATTATTATTTCTTTTAAAATCACCACCACCAATGGATTTTCCACAAGCTCTAACAAAACTTTTGTTTGAGTTTGTTTGATTTGCATCCTAAATATTTCTAGCACATATTTAGTCATGCAGGGCTTAAATTTACAGTCGGACATCGGACATAGTCCACTTAAACCTCAGATTGTCAGATCAATTTACAAAGTAAATGGGCATTTTTACCAACGGAAATTAAATTCTACAAAATAAAGCTTGGACAGGAAAGGCATGCGATCAAACGCAATCGCTGACAACGCAAATAATTTTTTTTGATTGCAACTTGACAACTGTTTAAATGTTTTGATAATTTAAACTTTTCAGAGATGCGCTGAAAAAAGAAACATAAAGCTAAACTTAAAGGGAAAAAAAATGAAAAAACTAAAACAATAAGCAAAACAATTCCTTACGAGAAAATGAATTAGCTTTAAAATAAAACTAAAAAAACTCAAAGTTAAAATTACTTTTTGTTACCTTTTTTAATTGCTTTTGAAAAAAATTACTTTAAAACTTATCTTTTAAAACGCTTAATTAAAGTTACGAATTTATTAAACATTGATTGTTTAATAAATGAACACATTTTATTTAAATTATTGAAAAGTGAAATTAAATGATTGAAAAGAAAAAAATATAATATTATTTGTGGTATAAACACTTCTTTCAAAAAGTTGCAAAAAAAATAAAAAATTGTTTAAAAAAATAACTAGTCTTTTTAAAATTGCAATTTTTATTTATTTCATACTTTATCTAGTAAGTCAAGAAAAAAAAACTGTTAAAAAATTCCTTGTAAAAACAGAAACAAAAAAAAAATAAAAAAAATAAAAATAAAATAAAACAATTAAATCATGGGAAGACTTAATTTAACTTATTGATAATTTAAAGTAACTTAAAGAAATAATCTTTTAAAAGATTTATAGAAAGACATGGAAAAATAGTTTCAAACGTTTAAATTTATCATAAAAAATACATACCTACAAAAAAAAAATTTTTTTTTTTTTGGTAATTCACCTCTCCAAGGCCAAGAAGGCCACTACAGATGAGGAGGCTACTTTAAAGTTATTCTTAACATAACGATGTTTATTATTGCGCTTAAGTTGTTAAAAAATCAAAACAGCCATTGTCAAATTGTAAACAAAAAAAAAATAAGCATTGGCAGTAACAGCGTGAAAATTTATCTAAAAAAACATACAATATTAAATTGAAACTATTTAATAAAAAACAAAAATCTGCGATAAATTATTCTAAATAATAAGGAAAGAAACTACAACTTTATTAGTTTAACGTTAAATATACTGAATGACATGACAAAGATTTTGATTGCATAACTTGGCTTCGTAAAACTGTAAAAATTATATTTTAAAAATTTGATCAGACACTGTCTGACCCAAACAAGTTTAGATTGGACATTTTGTCTGGGACTTGAATGGCAAGGGCTCAATTTAAAAAATTAAATTGAGCCCTCACCATGAAGTCAGATGAAACTTCTTTACATATTTGTGTTGCCATCAAGTTTTTTAAAAAACTTTTAATAATAAAATACAAATCTTTATTTAACCTTTAAACCATTAAGACCGTCTACAGACGGTCATCACTAAATGTAATACTATTCAAATTAAATAAAAAATCGATTTTAACCACTAAGGCCATTTTTAGTCTGTAAAATTTCCTACAAATGACAACAAGTTTGAACACGTTCTGACGCGTAGTTTGATTATTTTGGTTATTCTTGTTGAGAATTTCTAGTAAACAGCCGTCAAAATTATTTGTGATTGCAGTACAAATTCAAATTATAAAAATAATATATTCAAACAGCTCAATTGACTTGAGATTTTTTGTGGTAAGTTGTTCAACCTTATATTTTAATAATATGTTTTTTGTTTGATAAATAAAAAGTTTTTTTTTATTTAAAACAAGTACTTTATGAACACCTTCTACAGACGGTGTTAGTGGTTTGACTATAGAAATTTCCTCTTATTTTACCTACATATATTTATATTTTATTTTAATTTTTTTTGTACTTTTTTTCCATATTTTTGATTTTAGAAAATGCCACAACAAAATAATGGAAAGAAAAAGTTTAATCTCTCTGCAATGAGTGATGAAGAAATTGTAAATTTTATGAACTCAGCTGAAACTGATGATGAATGTGAAGATTTTGACCTCAGTTTTGAAGATCCAGATTATCATTGCGATGAGCTTCAACCTGAACCTAATACAACAATAAACAGTAATTTCCAACTACTGGATTTTGACAACAGATTCAAAGATCCAGATTATCAGTGTGATGAGCTTCAACCTGAACATAGTACCATTATAAATAGCTGTTTGCAACTAATGGATTCCTCATCGCTTACAAAGGCACTTCATTTTTCAATGAATGTTAGCAATTTTAATTTGAGTGAAATTGATGAACCAAAACAAACTGTAACTTTAAACAAAGATATAAGTATAACACTGCAAAATGAAGATGCTAATCCAGCACTTCACGAACTACAAACAAAAGCTACTATGTCAACACCACAGAGTGAAGTTGCGATAAAAACGTCATTCAAACCAAAGAAAAGAGCTCGATCACCATTACCATGTGTAGAGGTTTCAGGACCACCTGTAACACCATCAGCTGGTGGGTTCACAGGAGCTAGCTTGGTAGATATTCACAAAAACTCAGATGAGTTCAAACAAATCGTTTGGCGTAAAAAGTGTATGCAATTACACGTCAATGAAGTAGCATTTAGAGGAAGTACAGACCTACCACCTGTAGTAAAAAAACTGCAATCACCATTGGATTTTTTTAACTATTTTTTTACAGACGATCTGGTAGAATTGATTAGTTTGGAAACGCATCGAGCTGCAATTACAAAAAACTTGAACACAAAGTTCAAAATTGACAAATATGGGATTCGTCGATACATTGGAGTTTTGATTTTTATGTCAGTTTACCGTTACCCAAACATTGAAGATTATTGGAGTGAATTCGGATTTGGACACATACCAGAGAGTATGCCAAAAAACAGATTTGAGCAGATAAAAAAATATTTATCGTTCAACGATGAATCAAAACGAGTCAAAAAAGGTGATATAGGATATGACCCAATTTTTCGGATCAGAAAAGTTGCAACACATTTGCTTGAGCGCTTTGATTCAATTCCAAAAAATGCTCGATTATCAATTGACGAACAAATGTGTTCCACAAAAATGGTTCACCATTTACGGCAGTATTTACCTGACAAACCTCATAAGTGGGGTGTAAAGCTCTTTGTTTTGTGTGACAGCAATGGATACTCATACCGTTTTGAAATATATACCGCAGCCAAAAATGATGACATAGTTCTGCCTTTTACTCCAAACATTGGAGCAACAGGGAATGTTGTTATTAGGTTGTCGCAAACAATACCAAATTTTGTTAATCATATATTGTATTTCGACAATTTCTACACATCTCTGCCAGTTATGGTGTATCTAAGAGCACGTGGCATTTATGCTCTTGGCACTGTGAGAGCAAATCGTATTCCCAAGTGCAAACTTCCTGATGACAAAAATGAAGAACTGAAAAAAGCTCCACGAGGTTATTCAATAGAATTTGTTGGATCGGCTTATGGTGTTGACATCACCACAGTTTTGTGGAAAGATACGAAGAATGTCAGACTGTGCTCAACTTATGTTGGTACTAAGCCCTTCCAAAGAAATAATACATCAAGTCAATTATCAAAAGTAGCTCGATACAATAAAAAAAAAAGTTCATATGATGAAATTGATTGTCCGCAAATTATCAGAGAGTACAACACACATATGGGTGGTGTCGATTTAATGGACTCTTATTTGGGTCGCAATGGACTCAAAATTAAAACTCAGGACATGGCAACCAGGATCTTCTATCATTTTCTGGACATGACTGTAACAAATGCGTTCATTTTGTATAGAAGACTTAATGCTGAAAATAATAAAACTGTGGATAGTGATGATAAAATAAAAGACATGACCATGAAGGAATTTCGCGTAAGCATTGCTAAAGAACTCTGTGTTTCTCTTGAAAAACGTTCAGTTGGCCGTCCATCTGCTACACAACCAACTAACAGAAATTATGTCGGTAGAAAAGCAGCTCATCCAGTAGCAAGTGTAAGATTCGATGAAATGAATCATTTTCCTGAATGGGGATCAAAAAAATCGTGCAAATTTTGCAAAAAATCTGACACACACACATTTTGCACTAAATGTAATATCCACTTGTGCTTTTCCAAAGCAAAGAATTGTTTTAAAGACTATCATCAAAATGAATAATACTCTTTTTTTATGCTTTGAGTATGAAAATTGAAAAAAAACATTTGTTTTACATAAATTATGCATGTATTTAGTTTTTTTTTTTTTTCATCCTAACCCACTAAGACCGCCTATAGACGGTCTTCCATTTTTTTCTCCTGGCACTCTCAGATGAAGATTATATAAAAAATGGACTTCGTATTCATGTTTGTCAGGATAAAATTATTCTAAAACCAAAATTATCATGACAAGATTCAAGTTATTTCTATTTCAGTGGTTTAAGGGTTAAGTTTATTTTAATATAGTGCATCATTACAAGGTGTAGTTTAATTTTAACAGACTAGCTTTACAACTAAGCCAGTTTTAGTCCAGTATTATTAACAAAAAGCCTTTTTTAGACTATTATGTTCTCAAAATACACCAAGGGCTTCAGCGGCAAGAAGGAATTCTATAGCACCAGCAACAGAAAATGCCCACTAAATTTAATGTGAATTTTTCATCTTTTGAAGTAAAGTGAAGCGATGTTCAGGTTCAATCCATTTTTTTAAAAACTTTGAGATAAAATTTATTTTACTTGTTTAAGTAATTGACTTTGCTTTCTACCTCAAATGCAAACTAGTTATTTTGTTGTTTATCTATTATTAAATATGTACAATCTATTATTTAAATATTAATATTTGATCTCTTTTTTTTGGTAAGATTCAGTTAAGCGCTTGTTAAATAGTTCAGAGAATATTTAATAGAGTTCTGGGAACACTTTTTCAACATCTCCTCAACAGCCTCTTATCTGGGCAATAAATTGTAGAGAGTAAAAAAGAAAAAAATTAAATAATAGTACCCGGAAGGATTTTCAAAAATTAATAATGGTATAAGGTGTTTCTCCAGTAGAACAAGAAGAGTGTGATCATTAGATAATTTGGAGGCAAAAAAGGTATCAAAACATGCAAACCAAAATATATGCATAAACTGAAATAAATGAATAAAATGTACTTCTAATATAAACAAAAAAAAATAAAGAACATCAGATATGATTAAACAAACCAATGGCCTGTACAGAAGAATATTAAAAAAATTACCTGCAGACCAGGATAAAGTAACCCACTCAGAGCAGGGTGTTGAACTTGCTTAACAACTTCACAACCAGCTTTTTTGCAATCATGCTTAAAACACAAATCAAATCATACAATTGTTACACTAAAAATGTTTCTTCTAATAAATGTTTATTTTAATTTTAAAAAGCTAAACTAATTAATACTAGTAAGTTAATAGAAATTTATAAATAAGATTTATTTTATATCATTAGTGATGTTAAACAGAAAGGAATGAAAAACAATAACAATGTGTTAATGAAAGAGTAACTGGTCATTTAGAAGAGTCATTTAGAAATAGCCTAGTTATCAGATGTAGATCTAAACAATTTTGTTCCTACTTTTTGACATCTAGTTGTATTAACAATACAAAAATAACAGTCAGTTACATCAATCGATGAAACTAAAGTACAATCATTAGGATGTGTTAACATAATAAAGTTTTAGAGAAAAATGTTTTTCATTCTTCTTTAACTTTTCTAAAAGTTCTAAACTCAAAAATGCAAAGAGTAAACTTTAGTAATAGTAAAAACTAATAATAAATAATAAATAATTAAAGTTAGTTGAAAACTAACCTCAGTTGCTATTGTTGAGAGTTTGAAAACATCAAGAACATATTCCCTGTCAGATAAAAAAGTAATAAAACAAGATACATAGATGACAATGAATTAAAAAAAAAAATCTATGAAAATCGTAACGACCAAGATTATACATTTTAGGAAAACATCATAACCGACCATTAATTATTAAAATAAAAAATATATTTAAAATTTCAATTTATCTCCACAAGACCATGAAGGCAATTACAGTCGAGGAGACTACTATTAGTTGTGGTTACAACCCTCTTTTAACTCTATAACTCAAAACACAAACCTTGTAAATTAAAGCCGCTGCATGGAGAAATAAGTTGAGGGTGGTACTACCAGGGATATGGTGGCAATCGAACTTGGAACTTCTCACTTATGAGGCAAGCGCTTTACAACTACACCACTACCTCTTATATAATTTCATATAATAAATAAATTAACTATAGTAAATTTATTTGTAAATATTTTTTACCTTGATAATTGGTAATCAGTTCCTTTTACAAACTTTAGTTTTTCTAATGGAACATTAATTGAAAGAAGCATAGCCTAAATAAAATTACATTGCAATAACATTATGACATACTAGTTTTCTATTAAAATAAAAAAATTTGTTGAAACACTAAATCCCATAACATAGTAATTTATCTTTTATTGTTTAAAAATTATTAGGAAACAATAATATATTTCTTAAATCATCACAATTATTTATTCTTGAAACCATCACAAATCATATTATAATAATTATTACTATAACTTTAGAATCCATTTAAATAATATTTTAATAAAATATAAACAAGACAATAGATTTATAAACATGAAAGTAAGTTTGCAACTAAAAAGCTTTTAAAGTGCAACAATGTCTTCAATAACATTTTTTGAAACATAAAAGTCCATAACCATAAGTTATTTTTTACATTACAAAGAAAATAATAGCAAAGTTAACCAACACAAGGTGAAAACTTATAAAACAAGGAAAATTAAATTTTACTACCATGCAGTAACCAATATCAAATTATGTAGTAACTAACATCAAGTCATGTAGTAACCCACATCAAATTATGTAGTAATCAACATCAAATTATGTAGTAATCAACATCAAATCATGTAGTAACTTAAATCCAATCATGTAGTAACTAACATCAAATCACGTAGTAACCAACATCAAATTATATAGTAACCAAAATCAAATTATGTAGTAACAAGGGAAACTGAGTTCCAAAAGGACTCTGGCTTTATATCTCTACTTTTTCCAAGTCTGTAGTGCCCAGAAGCTCTAAACATTTTGTTGACTTATGATCTGCTATAAGAAAAAAATTAATGAGATTTAATGACTTGAAACTAATTGTTTTTGAGCCCCGAGTCCTGGAGTCCTTGCTGTCATTACACCTAAGGACTTCGGGTTCAAAAAATGATTGTACCTCTAACCTAAAAGTCTTAATTTTTTCCTATTAATAGTTTTCGAGTTCGAAATAACTCAAAACGACTCTCTTCACTAAATACTCATTGATTCCATCTTGTTTTTAGGTATTCTTCACACCATTTTATCCTATTTTCTTGTTGAACAAAAGTCAATAGGGGTTGATTTTTGGGAATGAAACTGAAGTACCTACTTTGGTTAAAATAATGAGTAATGGTACTGGGAACAACCTTGGGACTACCTTTTTTGATTAATTCAATTTGAATATCTCAGGCGGATCATGTGTCATCGTTTCGAACTAATTGAATCAAGTGTTGCTAGTCTTTTAAATTAAGTTTTCTTGGTCTACCACTTCCTTTCTTTCTCTCCAAGCTCATTCCTTTCCTCATTTTCTTTAAATATCTTGCAATTTTATTTATTTCATAAAAGACTTTAGGTCTTTATGACTCTGGTCTGCAAGCAAATTTGAGCTGAAAAGATTTTCAGCTTTCAAGGAGAATTAATGTTGTTCTCTGCTTAATTTAATTTGTTTAAATAGAGTAGTTTTAATAAATAAATATTTGTTTATTCTTCGTTTTTTACTTATTTATTTTCAGATTCTTAAGAATTAGGCAACTTAGCGAAGCAAAATTTGTTTTATTTTTTAGTGCAATTAGAAAGAGCTGAAGTGCTTTTTAGTCACTTCAAATCATTTGTTTGCTTTTTTTAAATAGAAGGGTCAATAATAATAAAAATTTTTAGATAGTCAAACTGTTACTGAATTGATTTAGTTTAATATTTTGTTTTATTTTATACTGGATTTATTTTATATTAAATATATATTTTATGTATTTAACATGATTGTACTGTACTGTAATTTGTTGACAGGTAAGTTTATATACATAAATGTGCCTATATTTTAGTATATTTTATATTTCTCTGTATCTATATAAATATTATCTCAAAGAAAAAATTAAAAAGAGTAAAAAAATTTGAATATATATACATACATATATTACTTTAGACTGACATAGCTTCATTTTTATACAAGATTCTGCATTTATTATTTTTAAGCATTAAGATTGTGCCTGAAGGTAAAAATAACTTTATGCATGGAAGTCTAAATTTTTTGTTAAATTAAAAATAATGTAAATAAATTTTGTTGGATATTTTTAACAAACGACTTCTATATACAAACTTATAAAAATATATGTATATCAATAAATCTTAATTTAAAATAGTCTTTGATTAGAAAAGATCACAATTAGTAAAATTATTTTACGTTCATTTATTCAGTTGTAACAATAGTATAATCACTGGTAATATGTTTAATGATAACAGATGTATAATATTAGGCTCGAAGAAGTTTTTAGTGTAAATGGTAATAAGTGACTTGAAAAAAATTGTTGTCAAATGCAAGAGATAGATCTAGCATGATAAAATTAATTGTTGTTGAAATGTAAGAAATTCTGCTTGATGAACAGAAAACTTACTTGCCAGAATTCAGTGTCAAGCGGTGTTGATGTCCATTAATTTGATTTTACATTAGTATGTATGAATTTTACTATTTATAGTAACAATTAATAAAAGTTTGAAATTTAAATGATTTAATTTTTTTTTGTAATCTCAAACATAATTGTGTTCTTTTTTTTTTTTAGTTGCCTTTGTCATCAATTGATTATTTTGCTTACTGTTGAATCATGATTTTAATTTTGTAAATTTAATATGATGTGAAATTTACTACATTAATCATTAGTCAACAGTTAGAGAGAAACTGGAACTTAATTAAGAAATGTTGGAAATTAACTTTTAGTTTAGGTAAAAATAATTTTGTTTATTGGTAGCATAATAAAACCAGTTACTGTTATTTATTGCATGTCTTTTTTACTTTTTTAACATGCTGCTTTTGAAACACTTCCTCTCTCTCTTAAATGAGACTTAGATAAAAATTAGTACAGGGAGAATTGATAAAACTCATGTAATTACTGAGCTCTTGCGTATTTTTTAATACTACAATTGATAATAACCATTTAAGATATATTTTACGAGTTACTTGCTATTTAAAGATATAATTCTTTAAATTGTTTAACTATAATTGTCCCTTGGTTGTTCAAATATTGTAATAAATAAAATCTTTTTAGTTTCAAGTATTTTACTTTAGGGATCGTCCATATATTATATAACGTGAAACAAAACTTATAGACAAAAGAAATATCTCAAAAACCGTGTTTCTCTCATGGTCAATTATATGTTGCATGTTCAAGAACTAGAGCAATTAATAGTTTGTTTTTCAAAATTGATAAACATCCTATTTAAGGTATTGTAGATGAAAAGTGTTACACAAATAATGTTATATTTTCTAATCTTCTTAATTTATAGCCTTTAAATTTTCATTTCGAAAATTTATTTAGAGGTTGTGAGCACATTTTGAATGTTCAACTTTATTTATTATTATTATTATTATTTTTTTCATTGTTTTTGATAAATATATCTGTTATTTAATATTGTTATTAAACGTGTTTATATGTGTTATATAAAGTCATATTTGTTTATAGTTGTATATATGTTTAAATTATCTTGTTTCCATATTTTCAAATTGTTGTGACTTGGTATCATGTTGAGCAAGTTTGATAACCTTGCCAGCCAAGCTGTGGACTTATAGCAGAGGTGAGACTTGGTAACATTTAGTGCCAGGCGGTATTACTACTTTAGAGCTAGATTGTGTTGTCTGGCTTTTTTTAATTATTCTGGAAACACATAATAGTGTCTGTTAATGTTTAGTGTAATGTGTATGAGAGAATATGCAACCTTAATCTTTAAATCTAGGATGCGTTAATGTCCTAAATTTGAAATAAATGAATAACTAATATTGAATATAAAAACAAATATTAAAATAAAATTAATGTTTAGTAAAAAGATAACTATAGTTAACTCTAAATTGGTTTTTAATAGATTTGTTAATTTTGCATTTCATATTTGAATTTAGCTTGTTATGAGTTATTGTTGTAATGTTATTGTTGTGATGTTTTGTGTTGATAGACAGTTTGGCTTACCTTCTTGTTGATGTCTATTATTAAAAATGAATAATAGGTAGTTTCATTATTGGAACTTACTGTTTTTATTTATTTACTAAAAACCAAGACAACATTTTGCTAAAAATGCAACTTATATCTTAGTTTGATTTTTTTTAGTATTGTTAATCATATTGTACTTCAAAAACAGATTTTATAGTTATATTTTTGATAAATGTTTATATTAACTGCAATTTCAAAATCGGTTACTATAAATAGGTAAATCGATTTTCAATTTTTATGTGTTTTTTTTTTTTTTTTTTTTTTTTTTTGTAATTATAATATCATAATTCCATTACTTTTTTATCTTAGATTTATGTTATGATGCATTTATAAAATTTATAAAAAAAAAACAACCTGATTTCCTTTTATTATAAATTTTTGTTAGTTAAAAAGATATAAATATATGCAATTAGTTTAATTTTTTTAAATATTTTATCTATTATATGCCTAATAATTAGTTGTACGTATTTTAGGGGATCTTTGCAAACAGGGGTTCGTAACAAAAAACCTTTAAAAACATAATATTGTAGTTTTGCGCATTTATCAAGTACTGAGTTACTTAACTTTTATTTACATGTTTAACTAATTATTTAGCTTAGTCTGCATTAACATCACTTTTGAGGAAAGAAAAAAAACATTCTTATATATGTAAATCATTGTTTTACATTTTATTATTTTGGTAAAAGGTCTTCATCAAAAACTTAATTACTCCTTATAAAAAAACTCTACTCACCTGGCCACCATTAAAGCAAAAAGAGAGGAGGAACCTGTTTATTAGTGTCAAAATATTTAGAAAAATTAAATTTCGAGTTACAAAAGCAATTTTTATTAAATGGTTATTAAACCGTTTACTAAAAATTAATGAAATAAAGAAGCCAAACAAATAATATAGAAATGGTCTGTGTTGAGCAAACTTAACAAGACCCGGGTAGGGTCAGCTTGGTTTACAAATTTTTATGTCTACTTATCTGTTATAATTTTAATTTTATGTTTGTCATATGATGCATTAATGCATTAAGTTAACATATTTTTTCAAATTTGTTATACCCAAGTTTGATTTAATTTTTTTTTGTTTGAAACGCATTTGTACTCAGTTGCTTAGTTATTTATAATAAACTTAGTTATTTTTAATAAATTTATTTAAATGTGTGCATTTAACGTTTTTAAGTTAACAATTTTCTTTTCTAGAGAATAATTAATCAAGGGGATACTAAAAAATTATTAACTCCTGTATAATATAAGTTAATCTTAATGGTTCGTATGGTTTTAATCTTAATGGTTTTAATCTTAATGGTTCGTATTATAAAAATTATTACAAGGATTTAGTTGATACTTTTGTCAATTTAAAGCATAATAAAGTGTTATTATTTTGTAAGCTTTAAAAAAATGAAGGTTATGCCAGATTGCATGTCCAAGGAAACTAAACCAGTGGTTTATCACATGATAAATATGCTTTAAAAAACTGACAATTTTCTTCATAACCACATTGATATGGAAAACAGAAAAATAATTCTTTTTGTAAAAAAAAGTGAGCATTTACACAAAGCCACGCGAAACAATGAACATGGAAGATACAACCAACACTATGCCTTGGGAAAACTTTTTCATTTTTTATTTTAAAGGTTATAAGTTTTATTTCTTGGTAAAAACCCATTCTTTAAAATTTGTTCACTAGAAAAATCACCAATGATCATCCATCGTCGGAAGCTTTTTTGATCAGTGAAAAAGAAATTCAAAAAAAAACAAGTTGAATTGCCAGCTTGTGTGGATGAGTTCGATGATTTATAAAATGTAGAGATTAAACAGAGTGATAATAACCACACCAAGAGTAAAAATGTACCGGAAATTGAAAGGGAGTTTAAATCTTTCTACCCCATGCCTGGTGTTGAGCATAAGTTGATGTGGTGAAATGGTGGAAGAAACATGCTTCTACTTCACCATTATTAGCAAGAAATGTGCTCTGCATTCCAGCTGCATCAAGCTGTAGTGAGAGTGTTCAGCGCCAGCGGAGTAATTATTAGTTAAAGATTAGTATAGCATAAGAGGGGGTGGATAGAACTAAGTGCACTGAGCCGAATATTAAAAAGCAACAGGTATCTAAAATTAGAAAGCTCTAAAAGATTGGGGATAAAAAATGCACAGGAATAGACAGGTATGTGCAAAAATGTGTAGATACCATATCATAATTGAAGCTTAAAAACTATATATAGTAAGAAATCTAAATGTAAAGAGATGTGGTATCATTCAAAAACATACAACAAACAGAAAGATTTTTTATATACAAAAAGTAAAAGATAAATGATAAAAAAAAAAAAAAAAAAAAAAGATAAAGAAACACAATAAAAATTTGGATAATGGTGGGATTTGAACCAGGGACATTCTGTGTATGATGTAAATGCCTTATCCAAATAAGCTAAACATGCTTTTACTAATGTAGAAATAAATATAATTATATAATTAAAAAAAGTGATGTAAAAGTAAAACCTATGAGGTAGATATGTATATACGCATACATGAACAAACCAACATTTAAGTGTATATAAACATATACTTTTTTATTTGCGCATTTGCGCATGCATTACATAAATGTATTTATATAAAGATAATGTATACTCGATACATTAAAACTATACAAATATATTTTACAAACAGATAGCAATTTATATTTTCGCTTTCCTCTTTATAAAAGCAAATAAAATAAAGAAAAATCATTGCTTTTAATGTTGAATTAAAACTTTTTTTTTGCTTTGCCTTATCCAATTTTGCTGTTGAAAATAACAACCACTCTAAAAAATAAAAATAAAAACAGTACACAAATTATTTAATTTTCTTTCTTTCTATTTAAACCTATTTTTTGATTAAGTATTGAAATTAATATAATAAAACTTGAAAACTGCAATGACCAAGTGTAATATTTATATTTATTTTTTATTTAATATTTGTATGGATTTGAATGTCTTTTCTTATTTCATTAAAAAATCAAAACTAATAACCTTTTTTTTTCACATAAAAATATATTAAATTGAATTTGGTCAAAAAAAAAATTTTGTAATAAAAAAGTAAATACATTGTAACAATCCAAAAATATACCTTGATAACAGCTTGGTAATATTCAGTTCTAAGCTTTAAAAGTTCCCATGGAGCTTTTAAATTGTCAAGATAAGCGTGAAGATCTGCAAACAATATGGTAACCTTTAAAATAAAATAATTATGAAACTTTAAATATTACTAATAATTATATACAGCCAATAAATTGTTTATAAATTTTGTAACAAGCAATTTTTAACTGATGATTAAAATAGCTACCTATTTTTTACAGGTTTACAGTAAGATTTCAAATTTCATTTTGAAATACTTAAATTTTTATTATTAATAACTTTTTTTTTTAAATATTCTAAACATTTGAGCAAACAAAAAAAAACTTTAAAAAGTTTTTTTAAAGTTTAAAAAAAATTAGGAAAATTTTTTAGCAAACCTACTAACATATATATTCACTTGTTCTTAAGTAAGATTAAGAACAATTGGTAAACAAAACAAAGTTTGACAAGAATTAGTAAAAAAAAGAAAATAAGTATGACAAGAATTAGTAAACGAAACAAAGTATGTTTAAATTGCATAAAGGCTATTATGTCACATAATTAAAAAAAAAAACTGTTTAAGTATTGAATATACAATATATAATTTAAAAAAAAAACCAATATTATATACATTAATTTTTTGTACAATAATTTTATTTATGCTTGATACCAAATTTTAATGATTTTTAATCCAAAACCTTTATTTAGATTTAGACACAGCTCAAATTTTTATATAAACTACTTGACAATTCTCTGATTGCTTAAAGAGGGCATTTGAAATATTATCTGATAGCTTAACAAAGCCAACACTCTCTGCTTGCTTGAAAAGAGCATTTAAGCTTAAAAATGATCTCACCTCTGCTACAGCATTGGGCCTCAGTATTTGGTGAACTTTAACTTTGATAAAACTTAACTTTTTTCATCTAACCGTTATTGAAATTTTTATGAATGGTAATGTACTTGATGAAAACCATATATCAAATCGATTGCAAAACTAACAACTGCTAAAGTTCCATCTCTTTATTTGGAATTTTTTCCTTTCATCTTGTTATTCTGTTTAACAAGATGAAACGAACAAATTCCAAATAAAGAGATGGAACTTAATAAAATATAATACTATATATATATATATATATATATATATATATATATATATATATATATATATATATATATATATATATATATCATATATATATATATATATATATATATATATATATATATATATATATATATATATATATATATATATATATATATATATATATATATATATATATATATATATATATATATATATATATATATATATATATATATATATATATATATATGTATATATATATATATATAGTATGTACTGAAGTGTATATATATATATATATATATATATATATATATATATATATATATAGTATGTACTGAAGTGTATGTATTGACTGTTTGGGATGGGGGAGTAGTATAACTGACTGTTTGGGATGGGGGAGCAATCTTTTCTTTCATTATTTTTTGTTTTTTTCTTCTTTTTCTGAAAACGCTATATGCTATAAAGATAAGCAAAACTAGTGAGCAAATACTTATCTAAATCAGCTATAGAAGATATAGATAATACAAAAATACATAATAATACATTAATTTAAATGATAAATATTATCTTTAATTTAAAAGATAATATGTATCATTCAAATTAATGACTAAAAAAGGTATAATTGTAAAAAATTTTTTTTACAACTATACTATTTTTACCCGAATAAAAATTTCAATTAATATCTGACTGTCAGGTGATGTAACTGCACTTCTATGCATGTTCTACTTAGATGTATGAACTAAAGCTCCTACAGCTAACTGTTTTAGAATGACATCATAAATGTTCGACTATTGTTTACCCAATGAAAAATGCTAGCTGAATCTTTTGAAAGACTACTGAAAATATTATTTCAATGCAACTGAGTCGCCTGTACAGGCAACACAATTTTTGTTCTTTTTATTAAATCAATATTTCTATAGGAAGAAAAATTTTTAATTTTTAAGTTAAATTTTTTTGTTTTGTGTTCTAAAGAAGATAACTTAAGTAACATACTTTTTATAGCTTTTTAACATAATAATGCAACAACTGGTTCAATTTTTAACACTGGTTCAACAAATGTTGAACCAGTGTTAAAAATTGTTTAATGTTTTTCTTATTATTAATTTTAAAAAATAAGGTTTTTCCAGCATTAAAGCCTTCAAAAATTTAAAATAATAGTTTGTTTAACTATTTTACAAATTTTTATATGCATTTAGAGAAAAATAATAGAAATAAATTTGTAAAAAAAAATACTTCAATGTGCATAACGTATGCTTAGGCCTGGTGCTTTACATTATTAGCGGTAACATATATATAGGTTATATAAATAAATAAAAATTAAAATCATATATTTTTCGTAAGTAATATTTACAATAACATTAATTATTAACATTTTATAAAAAAGTAAAATGTCATTAGTAATTTGAAATAAATTTTTAATTTGAATTAAATTCTTGAATAAATTTGAATTGAATAAAATTTAGTCAATCTTTGAACTATTTATTCAAAAGTTGTTAAAAGTTTAAGACATTTTCAGTTAAAATTTACTTAAAAATGAACAAATTAATTCAAATTTTGTAAACTTATTTCATCTCTTATTTTATTATTTTTTTCACAGTCATACTTTAATAGATTCATAAAAAAAAGAATTCAATTTGATGATTTCATTACTTAATAAATTCAAATAATTAATATACGTATGTTTATACTATTTACAGCTATAACTTTAATACAATTTATATTTTTATACCATTATTAAATACTGTTTACAGTAAAAAAGAAGTTTAATCATTCATTAAAACTTACTTAAAAAAAAATTGAATTTAAATTTTGTGCACAAAATTAAGTGCTTTTTTTTCACAAATTTATTTTAATTAGAGATATAAATAATTACTAAATTCTAATATTCAATTTATATATAGTGTATACTATAAACTATATAGTAGAGTATGTTTATATATAAACTATATTTAATAAAGCAAATAGATGTTGGAAATATCCTATGCATGGATATGTCACTGCTATGGGAGAGATACCCTGAAAGAAAATAAACTCAATGATTTACTTTTTAATGAGCCATAGTTCAAATTCAGCCGACGCAAAAACAGGCATCCATGCAATCAAAAACCAACTCTAAACACCTTAAGGTCAAAAGTTAGCTCTACATTGCAGAATGCCAACCCTAATTTGGAGGGTTGAATACAATGGAAATCAGGCTTGGAAAGGAATGGCATGCGATCAAGCGCTATTGCTGACCACACAAATGATTTTATTTTTTGACAACTTGACCACGATTGTTTATATGTTTTGATGATTAAAACATTCAAGAAATGCGTTGAATGTAAAAACAGTGCTTATATAATTTCTTTTACGAAAAAGAAATTATATAAGCACTAAAATAAAAATAAAAAATAAAAAATTAAACTCTAAGCGAAACTTTTTGTTACGTTTTTAATTACATTTGAAATAAATTTTATTAAAACTTATCTTTTTAAACGTTTTATTAAAGTTACACAAAACGCTTTTAAATTAAGTAACAGATTAGTACTAAAGATTGTTTAATAAATTAACAAATTTTATCAAATTAATTAAAAAGTTACAAAAAAAAAAATTATTGAAAAAATTAACTTTTTAAAATAGTAATTTTTAGTAATTTCATTCTTTAATAAGTCTAGATAAAAAAAAAGGTTTTCGACTTTTTTATTTGTAAAAATAGGAAAAAAATAAATGCGCCTGCGTTTTAAATAAAATAAACTGCCAACAAGCAACTTAATTTAATTTTAATTTGAGCATTACAACTATATTAACAAGCGCTTTAAGTAACAAATCTAAAAATTACTATAAAAGATTTTAACTCATTCCTATTGTAATTGAATAAAAAAAAAAAATTTCTTTTAAAAATAAAATGTTTATTTAAATGATTTAAAAAAACATGTTTAATTATAAAAATTAATCATGAAAATTACAAAATGCTTCAAAATTTTTCCATTAATCAACAAGATATAAGTAAATGAAGTAATTTTATATTCTTGTATAATTTACATAAAATGTGTAAAAGCATTAGTCACAAAAGGTCTTGAACTTATTCAAAAAATTCTTTCTAAAAATAATGGTTTAAAAGATTTTTAGAAAGACATGGAAAAATAGTTTCAAACATTTAAATTTATCATAAAAAATACATGCCTTTAAAAAAAATTTATATATAGCATTTTTTATTAATTTACACATGTGTTTGTGTAAACAATCATTATAATTATTTTTTATGGTTTTATTCAAAGCCTTTGTGAAAAATAAAAACTTTAGAAAAGATTAACGATTAAAAGTTATTCATAACGTAACACTTTTTTTATTGCATTTAAATTGTTAAAGCATCAAAATAGCCGTGGTCAAGTTGTAAAAAAAAAAAAAAAATATTAGCATGGTCAGTTACGGAGTGCGATTGCTCGCCATTCCTGTCCAAGCCTGGAAATGCGTATCAAGATTGAAGGTAAAGAAACGGAATCATAGGATCCAAAAAAACCCATTGAAAACTGGCTATTAAAACTATCGTGGAGAAACAAATAAAGCATTCCTAAAGGTATAAGTCTTGGTTACACAGACAACAAAACTTCTGTTATCTAAGTTAAAAACCCAAGATGAATCAAAATTTTTTTAAAGAGCAATGATAATGAAGATGATAACGATAAAGCTATAATGATAATGATAATAACCATTTTTGAATTTCGCTTTTTTGTTTTAATGCCTTAAAATCATAAGTATTCTTGTGAACTTCATTTTCATTTTTATAGAGATGTGGGTGCCATTACACTATAATCCTGACCACACATATAATATTTAGTTAAGACAACTTGACCATTTTAAGATGTTTTGATAATATTCAAACTTGTGTATGTTTCTATGTATATCCCAAAAATTAAGTTTCAACACTCTTAAAGAATTAAATTTGTAACATTAATCTTTTGTAATCAAATGTTTCTTTATTAGCAAAATGTTTATAAACAATGCAATTCATTGATTGTTGGTAAAAAAAAATTTAAAAAAATTTTTCATTATATTAAGTTAAGAAACTTTTATTAAAAATTATATAAGTTTAGTATATTAGTATAACTGTATATATATAAATAATTTTTACTATTTAAAAAATACATACTTTTTATGTTAAATATTAATCTTATAAAACAATTTGTATGATTGATATTATAAAAACAATACTTTTAACAACAATTGCATTTTAATAAAACTTTTAATTATCATTAAAGTTAATAAAACTAATAATCAAATAAACTTAAAAGCACCTGAAAACAAACTTATATACATTAGGAAGTGACCGGGGCCCCGTCCCCAGCTAAAAATGAAACTTTATGCAAACACGGTCCCAGCAAAATAATAGGATTTAGCAGGGGTTGATAGCTGGGGTTAGAAAAAAAAAATTATAATACTTTTTGTATTATAAATTATACTTACACCTACTATTTATTAAATAACGGTATATATTTATAAATTACTGGTATATAATTATAAAACTTGAATTTACTTCCAACAAGATTGCAAGCAATCACTATTAAGTTACCTTAAAATAGAGATTAAGTTAAAATACTAGAAAACAATTAACTGAAGAATTAAAAAGTTGTAGACTGTATAAATAAAGAAAACATGAAGATGGGAATAGTTATAAGGTTTTTTTCATGTGCAAGGAAAAAAACTGAATTAATAAAAGTTTTTATAGCATGAAGGTACAGATACAGTAAAAGAAACTTGTTACAACTTGTTGAATAAGAAACCAAGCAAGAATGAGTTTTGGTTTATCGTAATAGAGATGATAGCTCCTTTGAGCATTGACCATGATAGTACTTGTAGAAAAAAGAAAGAAATGCAACCTTACAACAATGGGAGAGTGGCTCAAGCTTGGCAGATAAAGTAGGTCTAATTACATTTACAATGCGCTTTTAGATTTTGTCATATTGTTGACATTCCTATATTGATGAATAACAACCCTTTTACAGACAAAGTCTAAAACCAAAACAATTAATTATTATAATTCACAAATAATTGAAATTAAACTTAAAATTCACAATTTTTGTTAGACAACAAAACTCATTTATTTACTTAAATTGTGAATTTTAAGTTTAATTATAATTATTTATGTATTATAATAATTAATTGTGGATTTTAGGTTTAAATTTAAATCCATGAGCCACTGCAAACCTTTACTGCTGTTATAGAAGATCAGATTAAAAACTTGCTGCTTGTTCTAAGCAATCAAAAAGTAAAGATTTTTTATCAAGACAAGACGTAGAAATTTGATTCATCAGCAAATAGAGCCACTTTAGATGTAAAATTTTCATGAAGATCGTTATTGTAGATAGGAAACAATAATAGGAACAAAGACCGATCCTTGTCGTACCCTTAAAGTTGCCTGAAATTAAGAAGAGTGTAGGCATTCAGGATTTTTAACACTGCAGCTAGAAAGAAATAGTTTAATAATCTCAAAAACTTTATATAAAAAAACTAATAACACAGTGAAGACCAATTGTAGAATAGTTAGAGAAGTCAAAGTGTTTTCTAGAGTTTTTCTAAAAATTGGAACCATTTAATTAGCATTTAAAAGTTTAGCAAAAAATTAAAATACTAAAGACTTTGATGGAAACCTTGTCTAAAGCACAAACTGTATAAGTGTTTGATTAAAAATTAACTTTAGCATTGGAAGCCAGAGTGATATGGATGTTTAACAAGGGGTTAATCTGTTTAACTGGCAGGAAGAGTATGGCTATTATATTTAAGTATCAAATTAGAGTAAGATTTCTTTGCAAATAACTCTGATTTATTCTGGGGAGAAGTAAAAAGATAAGACTCATGAATTAGAGATTAAATGTTAGACTTACTTTACTTAATGACACTGTTAAAAAAAAGTCTCTAGAACCTAACACCTAAGATACAAGTAAATTGAGAATAACCAAGCTTAACATCAGACAGGACCTTTTTACATTGACTTCTTGGAATAATAAATGGAAATTTGTTCTTGAAAGAAAGGTTCTTGTAGAAAAGATGAAAAAATGATAGCTGTTTAGTAAAGCAACTGCTCAAGATAGTGAAAAATGTTAAGTAGAATGAGGCTTGACTTAAAAATGAAGAGAAGGAATAAAAGCTTTTATTCCAGGAGGAATAAAAGCTTCCAAGATGCGCTTTATGCATACATATTATGGATATAAACATGTTTGCTATTTATCTAGATGCTGGCATACAATGTCCTTTCATATTTTTATAAACTTTAGTATTTATATGGTGTAGAGTTTGTTGGAAGAGAAGATGATCAGATGGATTTGTGGTGTGACTCTAACAAGACAAGAAAAGGAGGCATAATCTTAGACAAATTAGAAAAAATGTTGTATCAAACAACATTTGTTAGAGAAGCTTAAAGTGATTTAGGTATCAGCATGTAGAGAGATATCTGCAGTGCTCTGTGATAAGACCATAAGGACCTCTGGGAGCACAAAAAAAAAAGGTAGCAGCTTCAGAAGAAAATGATAGTAATTGGTAGAAGAAAACTTAAAGAGAATGCTATAGATATTGCATGAACTAGCATTAGTTATGGAAAGAAAATCCTCTAGATTGTTTATATTAGAGAAACAGCATAAAAGAGAAGGCTAAAACCTGATGATGATGATGATGATGATGATGATGATGATTATGTTGATCATCATATTTATCATGATCATCATGATTATGTTGATCATCATGACTATGTTGATCATCATAATCATCAGAACCCAGAGTTTATTTGATAATACCGCTTTTTTTCCCCAGCAACATTGGGGGGGAGGGGGAGGGGGAGGGGGAGAGTGTTGAGTTTTAAGTACCTCTACTCTCCAAACCCTAGTTAAAACAATGATTTTTAATCATCATTTTTTCAATCATCATTTTAATCATTTGTGTTTATCTTGTTTAGTTTTATCCTAAAATAAGGAGTTGATTTCAAGGGAATTTTTTGAATACATGAATTTACTGGTGGATGTTACTTTAGTTACAAAAAGAAAACTATTTTACTGAAGACTTTAATAAACGTTTATGTTGCAATTACCAAGCTATCACTAAATAATTAAAAATTGTTAAAATTAGTTTAAACATTTATTAACTATATCTTAATAAATTCAACTTTAGTAGTTATTAATGTTTTAAATAATTAATAACTAAATGTTAAAAAACTTTAAACAATTTTAAATCAATATTTACATTACATAATATATTTACATATATTAAATCTTAAAATATTTGTAAAATAACAAAATAGTTTTACGTCTTGTATTCGAATAACTAATAACCGATTTTTTTTTTTTTTTTTTTTGCTTTGACTTAATGAATTTTGTTGCTGATAATAATAACCACTAAGGCAAAACAAAAAAATAAAAACAACACGCAAATTATTTAAACTATTATTATTGTTTTCTATTTAAGTTTACTTTAATTTTTTATGTAGTTATTAAATTAAAAACAATTTTTCAGTAACGCATATAATATAACTTGCGCAAACAGCCGTGATCACATTCTCTAACTTGAAAAACGTTTTTGTGGTCGTACAAGACAAAAAACCGCATGCCTTTCCTGGGAAGGCTTGTACAATGAGGAAAATTAAGTGATTTGACATGTAATGACCCTACTTGATACAATAGTATTTGATACAAGACTCTATTATATATTATATTGTTCTAGACATTACATTCAAGACATTTTAATTTAAAAAGTAAATTAGATATGATAATAACTTAACTTTTTTATTTTAATATTGTAATTATATTTCTTAAAACTTCTTTTTATGCATACTTTATTTACTACATAGTAAATTAACTGTTTAATTTCCAAAAAAATATATAATTAAACCTCGCATCCTGATTTGAGAAAATCTGCAATTTTTATCATAGGCACAAAATAGGCAATATGTGGCTTTCCTGTTGTAGCTGTTCCCCAATATAAACGCAATGGTCTTTCAGATATAATTGCTTGCATTCTATCCACACCAATGACTTCCTATAAAAAAATGTTTTTTAACAGATTTACTAAAATTATTAGAAAATTACCAAGACATAAAATTAAAACTTTTTTTGTTTTGTTCAAATATAATAGTTGAACGTGTCAAACCAAAAATTCAGACATAGAGGATAATTGTAGTATTTTTCTCAAAAAAATGCCTATATGCGACAATGTTTCTGTCATTTTTATTTAAAAAATTTAATTAAAATTTTATAGAAACTTAATATGGAATAAAATTAATAAGTCCGTACCCATTTTTTTGTATAGAAATTTACAATTTTACAATAAAAAATTATAAAGTATTGAACTTTAATCGTAAACTCAAACAAAGATTTGACATATTTTAATTTTATATAACCTACTAAATATTATTCAAATAAAACGATTATATAAAAAATAAGTATAGAAACTAAAAGGACAATATGTATTGTTTTTCTATCGCTTACTAAAAAATATTGAAGTAAAGAACAAGTATAGAAATGGTAGGTGCAGAATAGACTTATCCAGACTCACATTTTACTATTCTGGATGGCTTGTACTTAATAATACTTGATCATTTCAATTACCTTTTTTTTGCTTTTTAATAAAAAAACTTCTACAAAATGTGAACCATTAAAAGATGAAGAAAACTTATATAATTGTATATCTTATGGCAACAAAATAATAACAACAAAACCCTTTCTAACCATATTGTAGTAAACTCACTGAGAGTCTTTTTATCTTGAAAAAAACAAACAAAAATAAATGAAAAATTATTATTAAGCCATAAGTTAAACATTTAGGGCCAAGTTATCTCCAAAGATAAAAGATATTTTTTAAAGACCTATATAAGACCTTCTTTGACACTACTATAAAAACTATCCAGGTTTTAATATTCCACTTCTGGAAACAGTTTATTAGAAAGCTAAAAATGTTTTTTTTTGTCACTGAGTAATAACTTTTTTTTAAAGTTATTTTTTACAATTTTTCTGATGACCCTGTGGACATGATTCTTAATTTTTACAAGATGTTTCTTTTCTTTGATTAATATCTAAGTCGATATACTATTTAAAAGAACCAAAAAAATTATAAAATAAATTTTTATGGCCAGGTGTTTAAAACACCAAACATATTTGGCCCAAAATAGTGGCAGCAGCTAATATAATTTATTGTTGATCATATATATATATATATATATATATATATATATATATATATATATAGGCTTGGTCGGGAAGTTCTGACCACGGAAATTATATTAAGTTGTGAAAAACTGGCCAGGTTTTTTAGTTGTTTTGAGAACATTTAAGTTTATGTACAAAATAAAAAAATTTTGTTATGGAAACATAAAAAACTTGAATGTTCTCAAAACATCTTGGTGCGTGATAATAAAAAGAATATTTGCGAACACTAAAAACCCGCCAAATTAACGAACAAACTAATTCTAGTGGTTCATCACGATTTTTAGGTTTTGAGATTTCTAGCATAAATTGGTTTATATCAGAATATATCATCGATATTATTGCTCATTCTTGGGGCCACATCTGCAAAGTCGTAAATATTATAAACTATTATTATTTGTTTACAAAAATAAGTGTTTTAAAAATATATTATTTAAATTTTAAAAGTTTATTTTAAATTATAGATTTTATTAGTATTTTCTTATTTTTTACTTAAAAAGTATGTATTTTTTTTGTAAATGTAATTTTGTGTATCTGTTTTTTATTGTAATGCAATCATTTAAAGCAAATTTTATGATTTAATTTGTAAACAAAAACTTACAAAAATAATTGCAATTTTAATGAAATTATTAATAATCATTAAAGTTAATAAAACTAATTATGTAACAAACATTTAAGGGTCATTTTGTGCCAAATGGTCTAAAATTTTGGGATTCCAACATGGACCCCCTCAGATTTTTATGAAACTTAGTGGGTTAATTTATATCAATGAGAAAAGCAATTCCTGAAAACTTCAGCTTCAAATCTTATGTGGTTCATGAGATATGGCCATTTGAAATTTCTGATTTTTCCAAAAACAAAAACTTCAGTAGCAAAAACATGTTTTGTTCATACTTTGAAGCTCTGTATTTTAAAAAAAGAATTTCAGAAATCCTTCTAGTTTTTTTTATCATATACAATGCTGGGCTTACTTTGTTAAAACTTTCACATTGAATTGTTTAATGTCACATTTTATCCATAATGGCTGCCTAAAAAACTGAAAAAGTTGTTTGCAGATATAAAAAGATTTTTTTGATTGTCAATATACAAAACTAGCAATTTAAGAAGTAAAAAGACATATCTTTTTAGTTTCTATATATGGTAGGCTTCCTAATTTTTATAAATTTGCTGATAAGATACAATTTAGTAAGACATTATGGAACCCTAAAAATGGCTCCGGCTAGAACTTACAAAATTGTGCCTTCCCTTAAATCCACTGGTAACCTATGATCAACACTAATTTTCATGATAAACCTTTTTTCTATTGATTTAATAGACTTTATTAAAGTGATTTCAGAAAAAAAAATAGTGGGTACTCATGGGGAAGTCACAAAGTCAGAACAATGAAGTTGGTACAAAATGCATTAAAAACGCAAAAAATAGAGATATATTTATTTTAGTATTCATTATTTACTGCAATGCAAAAAAAAAATGTATATATATATGAAAGTATATGAAAATCATTGCTCCAAATTAGCTTTAAATTAGGACTGAATTAAACTAATTTATTTTAACCAACCTTAGTTGCCCCCCCTCCCCTGTTTTTTTATTTTTTAACATATATATATCTGGGAGAAAATAAATATGTATTTTCTCCCAGAACTTATCTTAAAAGAAATTTGTTATTGTATGTTTTACTTTACAAAATGTGTCTGATTTTTTTTCTAATGCATGAAGTGTCTTAATGCACAAAATAAGAATTGAACATATACAATTAAAAGCTGTGACATGGCAAACATGTTATTGGGTGTACTTTTTATCTTTATTTCCTATATAAAATTTATCATTCTACATTTATTTATTGTGTCAAAACTCATGAAAACTTTAGCTTACATTTCAAAAATTGAAAATAAATATATTTTTTTTTAGATAATAATTAAAAATAAATGGCAAGTTCATCTTTAGATCTAACTCAATGTTGCATTGGAAAAAAATTAAATGAAAATTGTCATAAAGGAAAATTTACCAAAATCAAGAAAATTAAATTTTTTGAGGAATTAACAAAAAAAAAATCAAGAACTTAAGCACTTAAGATGTAAAGTAAATCCTATTAAAACTATTTGTAATCACCATGAAAAGATCTTCTTGGATAGATTTGAGTCATCGTATGATGGAAGTTTTTGTTGCGATCCTTTTAACAAACACAAAATTAAAATTAAAAGTATTTAAAAATAGATTGACTTAATGATTATATTAAAGATAAATTCTTATTTATTTATTTAGTGTTTTATCATAATTTTTTTTAGAATCTGTCAGAGTCATCAGTGTTGCTGTTGCAAAGGAATTTGATTTAACACCTGGTTATAAGCTTTGTACAGAATCTCATAAAATATTGCACTTAAGAAAACAAGAATATGAAAGCGATTCATGTAAAAATCAAGATAATGATTTTAACAATTTTAAAACTTTAATTTAGGCATTAACACCTTTGTTTATTCACCTCTAAAACTAGTAGCTCGCCTAAAAAAGAAGGAAGATCTATTAGTGAGAAAGTAAAAAATCTAGTTCATGAATTTTACCAATCAGATGAATACTCTAGAATGTGTCCAGGAAAAAAACAGTATGTCTCAATCCAAGTTGAAGGTAAAAGAAAACATTTTCAAAAAAGACTGCTATTACTTAATATAAAAGAACTTTATTTAGAGTTTGTTAAAATTTCCTTAGATGTCAAGATTGGATTTTCTAAGTTTTGTGAACTTAGACCAAAGTGGTGTATTCCTGTTGGAGGTGCTTCAGGTCTCCACTCAGTATGCGTTTGTGAGTACCACCAGAATGCCAAACTTTTAGCATTAAAAATACCAGATATTTCAGACTATAAAAATCTATTGATATTAGTTGTATGTGACTTAACAAATCGAGACTACATGCTGCATAGTTGTGATAACTGCCCAGATACTGACACACTTAAAGAGTATCTTACTACTTTGTTTGATAAACATAGCATTGAAGAAATCACCTTTAATCAGAGGCAAAAAACATGTTATAGTTTCAGTAACTCTTCCAGTGGACAATTTTATTGAAAAAGCTTTTCAACAAATAGACCAATTAAGAGACCATCACTATATAGCCAAAAATCAATCAGCATATTTGCAGCACCTGAAAATCACATTCCCAAGTAATCATATTTTAATATTACTAAACTTTGCTGAAATTTACAGTTTTTTAATTCAAGATGCAGTACAAGGTTTCCGTTGGAACAATAGTCAAGCAACATTGCATCCTTTTGTTATTTACTTTATGGAAGAAAATAAAACAAAATGTAAAAGTATTTGTATTACCTCAGATAATTTGCAACACAATACAAACTCAGTTCATTGTTTCATTCAAGAAGTATTAAAATATTTAAAAAACTTGATACCCTACTTTAACCATTGCATTTATTTCAGTGATAGTGCAAGTTCACAATACAAAAATTATAAAAACATATCTAACTTATGTCACCATAAACAAGATCATGAAGTATCTGCAGAATGGCATTTTTTTGCTTCATCACATGGAAAGAGTGCATGTGATGGTATTGGGGGAACTATCAAAAGACTAGTAGCAAGGGCAAGTTTACAATCACTAGTTGATCCTATCAATTCATCTGAGAAAATGTATGATTGCAGGCTTTCACAGGAAGATGTGCGATTTCACATCTTTATATGACCACGCAAAAAAAAATGTTTTAACGATTTGACCACGGCATATTTTTAAATTTTAAAAACGCGCTACAAAAACTTACCTAAATTTATCTGAAAAAAAAAATTTTTAAAAACAATAAATATTAACGAAAAAGAAAATAAAAAAAATACTTAG